CGAAAAAGCACGCAGAAGATAGCACTTACGGCTGTCTTACCTAACAATAACCTAGCATGAAAATGAAAAATACCCTTTTTACGTAATTGAAATAAAATCGGTCGATTTTTAATCATCCAAACGATTTCTAGGAATCTTTCGGACGATTAGTGGCAATTTGATGAAGGACGGAGGCTCCTTTCAATAACATTTTCCGGTCAGAAGCTTCAGAGCCCGTTTTCTCAAAACTCCATTTTAAGCGCTCAGCCAATAGGCAGCGCTTTTTGATTTCGACTTGCCTCTGAGTCGTTGCTCTGAGTACTAGTATACTAGTGCTAATACGTTTAAATGGCGCACCAGCTCATCGATGTGTAGGCTTTGGGGNGGTAGTTTCGATCGTTTGTCCATAAGAAAATTTCTTAGCGGTAGAGTAATTCTTATCGAAATTGATCGTTGAACTCAAATGAAGCCTAAAAAAACGCGCCTGATGAGCTCAACGGTGAGCTCATTTTCGGGAAACGAAAAAACGCGTTTACGGTTTCCTCGGTAACCTTTGTTTGCTATCAGCTGATGTTTTATTTCCATTTCCCAGCCGAGTCGACGGAGTTTATACGTCCTTTCCTCACTAAATACATTTGCTAACACCTGAGCGCTTTTCTGATACGACAGTATTAGAACTTTCCCGCTTGTTTGCACTTACGGCTCTCTTCGCTATCACGGCAGTTTTGCCTTGCACGATTCCATATCTTAGATCGTCAGTGCGAGGTCTCTAAACTACATCGCTCGTGGTTCGGATCCATCCCTGAAGCGCCTCCACCTCGACGCGCCCCCGCGTTCCCCCACGTCACGGGCTCACGGCCGGGATAAGGGAGGACCGCGGAGGCTGGGCGCCGCGCCGGGCGGGGGCGAGATCGGATCCGACGGGGGTTGCCCTCAATTCGCGCTGGATGCCACCAGCTTCCCGCCCCCCGCCCCCGCCCAATCCTCGGAAATAATTAAAGTCCTCCGGTGGATTTTTCGACTCCTCGCTCGCGCCCGACCCTTGATTGCGTCATCCTGCAGGCGCGTGACGCATCCCGCGTGACGCATACGCCGGCAGCGCGTCACCGTTCAACCTTTTTTCCAGCCCGGGGGTTTTCCTCCGCCTTCGTCCCGCGATAGAGAGCAAGGTTGCCAGATTGTGGAGTGAGAGATATGATGGACGCTCCGCACTGCCGTGCTAAGGAAGAACGCCGCATGAACATTCGAGAGTTGCCAAATTTCTCTCTATTAAATGTTCATTTTTTTGGAAAAGTTACGAATATTTTTCCTTTAAATTTTCAGAATCTATAGGTAAAAATGCAAACTAAATAATCTGAAAAATCGGGAGGAAAATCTTCATAAATTAACCAGGAAATTCACGTTTTATCAAAGGAAACTTGACAACGTTCCAAGGCTCATACGGCGTTCTTCCTTAGCACGGCAGGGCAGCCCGTGACAAGATATACAATGAAAAAAGATTTGAAAAGCGGGTGACAAGGCTAATTTTCATGAATAAAACCAAAACGCTTCGGTTGAGCACTCAGCCTTCCTCAGTTGGAGAAAATAGTAGAAAGAAAAATGGTAAACATCTAAAATAGTACCTGGCTGTACCTTTCAAAGCGAGGCTGTTGCTCTCATTTATTACTATTTCATCCAACTGAGGAAGGATGAGTTTTCGGCTGAAACATTTTGGTTTCACTCGTGAAAATTAGCCTTGCTGCCCGCTGTTTAATTTTTTTTTTTTTTTTTTTTTTTTTTTAAATCTTTTTTTTTTTTTATTGGGAAGTAAAAAGTGGGTATTTTACATGGGTTTAAATGCGAAAAAGTGCGAAAAATAAGCACTATCTGGAAATAATGATAGAGAGGCGGATTTCCGCTATTGGATGCCCCCTCGAGTTTTTGTTTTGTCTTTGTAGCCTATAATAATGTTTTTTGATATCGGCGGAAGGGAGGGGGGGTGTTGGAAATTGGAACTCAATGACGTCATTTGATGGGTGCGTCACTACACGTGGAAAAAATTGGCGGCAATATCCGCATCCCAAGGCAGCTGGAACTGAGATTCTCGGCCCTGACTGTCGTAATTTGGTGAAGGCTCCAATCTCGGTGCACGTATTATACCATGCTTTCGAAAGTTTTTATGGACTTTGGCTGAAATCATTGAGCTTTTCGGGGTGCGAACCCTGCCGGAAGACCAAATTAAATTAAATGTTAAAATTGTAATGGAATAGAGAAAAATTGATTTTTTTGGTGTTTTGAATGTAATCATAATCGCAATAACAGTTACAAACTTTATAACTTTAATACTATCTATGATTTTACAAAATCATCACCATGTCTTCGAATCATGTTCATTAATATTGATATTCTAATAATTCTTTTTGTAATTAGTAAAATTGTAAAATATAGAGTGGTATGATTTACCGTGTAAAAGACAATCTCGGATCGGTGAATAAGTCCGTCTCATGGCAAATAATTAAATCAGGATTTTTGTCAAATGCCCAGGCAAATGATTATTCGCGAGCCAACTACTTTTTTTTTTTTTTTTTTTTTTTTTTTTTTTTTTTTTTTTTTTTTTTTTTTTTTAGAAGTTTTTTATTATAGTTTAAAGATACTAATGCCAACTACTTGGGGGTCCAGTTGCATCTCATATAGGTAATTTGCAATTTTCGAAGTCTTGCCTTGTCGTTAGATATCATCACCAAATTGTATAATCGAGTCGGCTCTAAGCATGTTGAGAGTGTGAATAACTCGATTTTTCGAGAGAGTTATTCACACCTTGAGACCTAGAGAGGACCTCGAGAGGTTATACCGAACGTTTCAAGGTCTCTTTTCCCATTGACAGTCACGTAAAGCGATTTTTCACCAAACCTAGTTTCGATCAATGGTGAGACGTAAATGGTCGATTATCGATATTATTATGGTCATCGGTATTATTATAGATATGGTAAAGAATCGAATACTAAGGTGTTCGTTGCGAACACCCTGTTGATCGATCCTTTTCCATAGGTTTAAATGGCACGTCCATTGATCGGAAAGCACGAAACGCCACTGGTGGTGAGCCCCACGCCCCTTGCGCCCTTTCGAAGATTGGTTAACTCGTTCGTTCCACCGGAAGATGCGCGGTTTTCTCGTTATTTCTAGGCGCTTTTTCCTCGCTCAGCTAACAATGGAGATGTTGCATGTGTGAGGAATTTGCGATTTGACTCTTGATTCGTATGACTAAGTTCGCGAAAAATACGATGGTCCCACTGGTTTTCTCTGAAATTAACTCCCAAGCTCCAAAAAAAGCTCTCAAGTTGAGGCCAAAATGGAGGGGATATCCCACGCTGTCCTGAGAGTCTACCTCTCCATTAAGACAAACTCTCCATGCAAAGATAAGGAGCAAATACATTGACAGGGCTGCCGTGATTTCAGTTTTTTAGAGTCCCCAAATAAGGTGACAGCCCTGTCAATGTATTTGCTCCCTATCTTTGCATGGAGAGTTTGTCTTGATGGAGAGGTGGACTCTCAGGATAGCGTGGGATATCCCCTCCATTTTGGCCTCAACTTGTGAGCTTTTTTTGAGCTTGGGAGTTGATTTCAGGGAAAACCAGTGGCACTATCGTGCTTCTCGCGAACTTTTACATAAGTATCAATAGTCAAATCGCAAATTCCTCACACATGCAACATCTCCATTTGGCTGCTCTGAGCGTGCGTCGTCATGCTCCATTCAAACTTTAAAAGCGAACATTTCCGCGAGAAATTTACAACCTATCTACAACCTAACTTTTTCCGGGGAAAATATCTTATCGGGAGGCAACGTCGGAATACTCATGTGGCGTCGAAACACGAAATGGACCTTGTAAAGCCCATTATTCGATGCCGCGATTAGTCTAACGAGTGTTCGAATAATAGTCGCATCAAACACAGTGCGACCGGCGTTAAACGCATTTTAGCGCCTGCAAGACTGTAGGAATACTTCACGCATTGCGCCAAGTAGTGCGGCGGGCATGAAGCGCATCTTAGCGCCTACAAGACTGCATGAATACTTCTCGCATGGCGCCAAACGCAGTGCTGGCGGTCAGTTGGCGTTCTTTTGACGATCTCTGCCCGATTTTGATCACCCTTAAAGAGCAAATAAGTATACATATCAGTTGCAACGATTTAGAAACTCGGACGATGTTTAATCGATTCTGAAGCTTGATTCGCGTAAAATTAATTTTGGTTTAGTAAAAAGAAAATATAACGAACGGAATTGCGTCGAATTATTTTTTGCGATTTTATTTTGTATTATTCCGGAAATTTCCTGGAAACTCTCGAAGAAAAACTGTCTAGCTGTTTGCAAAGAAAACTGATGAAAAGTAAAAAATGAGTAGATATGTGCAATGTTGCAATTGGAGGAAAGAACACTTTCTTCCGCGTGCAGGCGTCGATTTTTGATTTCATTCACAGCAGGCCGGCAGGCGTAATTTGACTCTGTTCCAAATTTACCGTACTTAGAGGAAAAAATATGTATCCTCATTGTATCGATTCAGAAACTCGAAAGATAATTAATTTTTTTTTTTCTTTTGTGTGTGTTTTGTTACATAGAAAGAAAATAGAACGAACTTGAATATCGTATCGAAATTTCCGATGCTTTTATTTAAGATCAATTGGGAAAATCACGGAAACTTTCCGAAAAATTGTGTGTAGCTTTTCCAAAACATTGATTAAAATAAAACCTAAAAGAGGGTGCATAACATTGCAATCAGAGATAAATACGCTTTCTTCCGCGTGCACCCGAATCACCGGACGGCTTTTGAATCCACAAATCTCTTAAATAACTTGAACATGGTTGCTCTACGATTTTTTACGTGTAGTTCTTTTTCAGCGGTTGGGGACCGCGTAGCGGCCACAGGCCTCTGGTACAATTTATTTACTCCAACCAACTCGCTTGGTCTCCCCTCGTGAAATTCGAATTTTGTCAATTTTTATGTGTGCACATTTTTCCTTTCTAATAGGTCCACAATGTTTGATTTCAGGTTGTTAGTTAGTTATGTCCTGTGATGGCAACGAGGGTGTCGATATTCAAGACTTTCAAGACCTCCATGATGAGGGATCTTTCGCCAACTTGTATCCCGCTTTAACACAATGTTTTGCCATTATCACTTGTGGGTAAGTCTTTTGTCTTAATCAAGTCAATTTCGTTGAAAAATGATTTTTAAAAAGAAAAGATAAATAAGAATGAAGAATTCTGAAAAAGCCTAGTTTTGTTTTACTCGAATGATTGCATGTTCTTCTCTATTTTACCCAACATTTGGTTGTTTTTTTTCCCCGTCCTGATTTGTGAAACCACGCTATTCCCGTAACGTAGTCTTATGTGTGATAAGTCTGGTTCGTTGAGTAGGTATCGCGAAAGTTCGAGCCACTGGCAATTCTTGAAATTTGGCAACACTGTTTTTCCTTTAATTTAAATGTATGTGAAACAATCGATTCTCGGTAATGCAAATTGCCGTACCTAAAATCGATATTTTTGGAATGGATTTCGACTCACTGAAAAAAAAATCTCTGTGTATTTACTAAGAAAAGGATAAAATTACCGAGAATTCAGGGTTCTATTTGATCCCAGTTTTTTCTTGGTGAAATTACCATTTATGGAATTGGTAATTTTACCGAGAAATCTCGGTAAAATTATTGAACTTTCGCGGTAATTTTACTGGACCTTGGTAAAAACGCCGATATTTTGTATCGACTGCGTGGTAGAATTACCGAGATAAAATGGCAAAGTTACCGGGAATTGATTACCAATAAAAGTGGTATTCTTACCTAAAAAAAAACAGTAAAAAGACCGGTTTTTAGGTAAGCTTACCAGTCTGTCTCGGTAAAATTACCAATAATTGGTAAAAAAAGTGGGATGGTAAAGGTACCAACGGACCGTGGTAAAAACGCCGAGAATTTGTTTTCAGTGCGACGCTCGATGGATCGAGTCAATAGAAGAGGTCGGACAAAATTTGGAAACTCTAAACTCCTTTAACTCCGTTTATACGAAACTTTGAGGTTCTTAAAGTAGTTCCATAGGTTTCCTCGTAAAACGCACTTCTAGTAATACAATTTTAAGTTGAAAATATGACGAAATATTTATCAAAATTTGCAGTTTTAGTCAAAAATTTTATGTCCGACCTCTCCGATCGATTCGATCCGCTGTGCGGCGTCCGACTGTCGTCACGTCTGGGCCGGGCTTTATGAAGGAATAAAACTTCAAACCTCTTTTTCTCGGTACCAACTCCATATTGCGCGGTTCCTTTTCTACTGAACTCGATCTATTTGTGATGATCATGTTACAAACAATTATGTTTTGATGTTAAGAGTCTGATTGTGATAGCATCTCAAACAGCGACGCGTTAACACAACTGTTGTGCACATGTCTTTTCTCGGAAGGGTTTTCAATAAAACTCTACGGTGCATTATCCAGCTCAGGCTACGCATGTAACCTGCCATAGAATAGTGAGAAACGCACCTTTATTACTTTCTCAAGGGATTTCAAGTTCCTTTACAAGTCCATTTAAAATAATAAGCGTGTCAGCATCTGAGCTCCAACTTTACGGCACCGCACTTGGTGGGGTCGCTTAGGGTCAAAAATCACCAAAATATTTCAAATTAGGCGACCAGCATGAAACTTGGTGAAAATGTAGTTTAAGGTACCTAGAATGGAAATCCGTCGGGACCCAAGCTGGATCTCCCGTGGTTCCCGTATTTTGGCCGCCATTTTCCAAGATGGCCACCATAAGCTGATTTCCATTATTATCTCATTTTTCAGGCATTCTTACATACCCATGAACATGAAATTTGGCAAGAATATACTTGAGTGTGTCCAGAATGAGGAAAAATTGACATTTAAGTCCAGTCGGCCATTTTACCCTTGTTATTGGCCGCCATTTTGAAAATTAGCGGTTTAGCGCCGTTTCTCCGCGGTTTATCAGATTTTCGCGGCTGGGTTGGAATGAGATAAATGAAATTTGGCAGGAATATGCATAGACATGTTGAGAACCAAAATCTATCGAGACCCAAGTTCAGTCGGCCATCTTTATCCTGGCTAATGGCCGCCATTTTGGAAATTAACAGCCCAGTCCTGCTCCTCCGCGGTTTCTCAGATTTGCGCGGCTGTTTTGCAACTGGACGCCTGAATTTTGGCAGGAATATCCATGAGTGTGTTGAAAATAGAAATTCATCGAGACCCAAGTTCAGTCGGCCATCTTTATCCTGGCTAATGGCCGCCATTTTGGAAATTAACAGCCCAGTCCTGCTCCTCCGCTGTTTCTCAGATTTGCGCGGCTGTTTTGCAACTGGACGCGTGAATTTTGGCAGGAATATCCATGAGTGTGTTGAAAATAGAAATTCATCGAGACCCAAGTTTGGTCAGCCATTTTACCGCCGAACTTGACTCAACTCTGGAGCGAGTCAATAGGAGAGGTCGGACGAAATTTGGAAAGTTTAAGCGCTCATAACTCCGTTTTACAAAGTTTTGAGGTTCGTAAAGTGGTTTCATTGGTTTCCTCGTAAAGTTTGCCTCTGAAAACACCCTCGAAATTTAAAATGTGGCGAAAGCAGCATCGAAATTTACAGATTTAGTCAAATATTTCATGTCCAGCCTCTCTAATGGACTCGATCCACTGTGCGCCTTGACCTAGAGTACCTTTATAGACAGAGTATGGCCATTCGTATCTTTTTACTACAGGAAAACTGTTCCGCTTTTTGATTGGTCAACGAGTTTTTAGGCTTCATGATGCTCTTAGGGCCGTAAATAAACAAACAATATGGCCGCTCGCCGTAACATCGATAAGAAGCTAAATTTGACACAAAATTCAATTCTACGGCAGTAACAATTTAAACAAGCATATCTACGAATAACACACGAAAAACACACGAAAATATTGTTAAATCGCCTTTCACCTTTATCACAGGAGGATGTAAGATGTGCATAACCTCAATCTTGCTTGCTGATAACGGCCATCTTGTTTGTTTATTTACGGTCCTAAGAACATCGTGTCAGCCTATTTTCACGCGACCAATGAAAAACCGGAACAGAAATGACCATACTCTGTCTATAAAGGTACTCTACCTTGACCTCCTTCACTCAAAATCTCGAAATATCATCAGAAGAGGCAGAAGTTTAGTTCTGAGGACAATGTTACGTTTTGCCCAACGATGATTGATGAGTAACCTGTCGAGCATAAATCAAATAAAATTCGCCTAATGGTGACTGATGAATGTCGGGGTGAGCACTTTCCTTCGATTATTTGCAAATTAGTTTAGGATTGCCGAAGCAATTCCTCAACTCGTGTGTAATGAGTCATCATTAGGCGAATTTGAGCATTGACTTGAAAAAGTAGCTTTTACACTACAGGAAGGAATTTTGCCGAACGTTGATAAGTCGGGGACAGCGAGGGAATTTAGCTGTGGGAATCTTTTTCTCCACCTCGGAAAAATGAAAGCGGATTTTAAAGTGTTCTTATATTCGTTCACACGTACAAAATAGGGAGTAAAAAAGGTGCAACGTCGCAAATTGAAGTATGAATATTTCTTACCCACCGTCATGAAGAAATGTGTAACTGCGCACTCGCTAAAGTGTAATGTCAGCGGCAGTCGTGATCTCCCGCCATCATATCGAAACGATACTGTAGAAGGCGCTCTGAGCAACTATTTCACCACAGAAGTATCGCACAGTATCAGGCGTAGATGAAGGCGCACTAACGTTCGTAAATTGACCGGTTTCGTTTTCCATTGTGTCGAGCCCTACTAATCGTACGATTTGCGGCCCCTGTTCAATCGATTTTTGTGGAACTTGGTACCTGGTGGCATTCTTTGACGGGAAACTTAAAGTTCAACCCATTTTCGAAATTTGGAAATTAAGTTGGTGGATGTGGCCTTTAATGCTATCTCAGCGCCTGTTCGATCGATGAAAAGCAATCTCAGCTCGTGGAAGAGCTCTTTGTCGTACTAATTTGAAGAAAAAGCACATTATACAAGAGAAAAATAGGCTTTCGCTGTATTGCCGTGCTAAGGAAGAAAGCCGTATGGACCTTTAGGCCTTGCCAAATTTCCCTTCGTAAATCACGAATTTTCGGGAGAATTCCAATTTTTTTCCTTCCAATTTTTTAGATAATTTTGTTTGCAATTTTGCTTAAAGTTCTTGAAAATTTATCGGAAAAATATTCATAACTCTCCTCAAGAATGAACATTTTATCGAAGGAAATTTGGCAACTCTCGAACGTTCATGTTTTTCCTTAGGACGGCAGTGTAACTATGTCGTTTATTTTAATTGGACTACATTTTGCAATTAGGACTTTTAAATTCCGGCCTGGTTTAAAAACAACGTATATGCCATTAGTTTCCCTATGCACATACGTTTTTTTTCAGATGAGCCAGAATTTATAGGTCCAAATTGCAAAATGCAGTTCAATTATTATACTCTACGCTTCTTGAGGCACAGTGTCATGCTGAAATCATAACAAAATTTGAGAGACGAACTTTTGAAAAATGAGGATGAATACGAGACCGGTTCATAAAACGCCATGCGACGCGGGCTAAGATTAAAATCAATTTTCTCTGAAAGCCGATTCTTCATCGATACTGTACTCTCCTTAGTCGGGTAGCTATTTATGAATTTCATTCTTCATTAACAATCAAGTGAGCGTGTCTCATATTAAAGTTTACACGTACGTACGATTGGCATTAGTTAGATCGCGAACTCGTACATACAACGTGCAATGGCTCAATTGTTATCAATAGTAAGCAAAGTTTAGTAGACCGTGTTGTCGTTATCTGTGCAACTCCAGAGTCTAGACAACTTGCAGTTTTGATTACTGGACGCTGGCGGCTACTAGAGGTCAGTAATGTTCAATGAGTCATACTCGTTGAGTGACGCGGTGTCGTTCTGGGGCCTTTGCTGGGATAAACGGGCACGTACTTGGATATCCCTCGAATGATTCACAAACGCATTTAAGTGTCTATATTGTTCAAAAACAGGGTGTCAAGCATCAGGATTTTCCCGATTCTATCAGGATTTGAGGTCAATCAGGATCAAATCCCGGTTTTTTTCAGGATTTGAGAAGAGTCGGCCGTCCGCTTATTTTCCGTTAATTAACCGCTATCCGCCGTTAATTTTTCTCCGCAAAAATCAGGATTTGGAAAAATTATGAAATCAGGATTTAGCAGTCAAAAATCAGAAAACATCAGGGTTTCCCAAAATGAAGAAAAACTAGACACTCTGAAAAAGTAGAGGCGCCTCTTAATTTTAATAGGCAACACTTATTTCACAAAATTAATTTTATTCATATTTTACTGTAAAATTTAATTTATCTTTTACTGTAAAATTCGATGTATTTTTTAACTGTAAAATTGTATTTAAAGTTTGCTGTCTCGTTTGCGCAGATATGTGGCAGGCCGGTTGCAGCTGGTCACGCCGAAGGAAACGGCTGGCTTGAGTGTTTTTGTCGGGACGTTCTCATTACCATCCCTTATATTTCTCTCATTGGCCGAGCTAGATTTAAAGGCAGTCAATTGGTACTTCCCTCTAGCCATCTTCCTCTCCAAAGCTCTGGTTTTTTTTGCGGTCATATTAATAACGATATTCATCACCAAACCATCAAGTCTTGCCAGAGCAGGGATCTATGCTATCTTTGCAACGCAGAGTAATGATTTCGCCATTGGTAAACCTATCGGTAGGCACAGAAAATTTCTGAGTTCTCTTGTCTTTTATTTCGTGTGGTTTTTTTTTTGTTTTTTTTTTTTGTGTTTGTATTTTCAGTTAGCTTTTTTAAAATTTTAATTTGCACGCTTGTTTTTTGGCACCTGACTAATATCATGATATAATTATTAAATTATCATAGTATCCATCTTTTCACCGCAATAAGAGGCCGTCCCTAAATCACGTAACGCTTTAGGGGGGGGGGAAGTTGAGGAGAGCGTTACGCCTTTTTGTTTTTATGTGCCAAAGGCTGAAGACCTACGTCACAAAAGTGTTACAAGGAGAAGGGGGGTCAAAAATGCTGGAAAAGTGCGTTACGTATAATTAAGGGACGGCCCTTAAGGTTAAGTAGTTTTATTTAGCCATCGTAAAGAGTGTGCACACTTTAAATGATAGGCCAACATTTAAGTCAATCATCGAAATCAGAAACCCATCAATAACTCGTGATTTACTCGTAACGTATGTATATCATTATTTCATTTTTCTGTGAAGTATCAGTTAGTGCAGTATAAACTGTTTAAATAAAATTTAGAACTTTTTCAATCGAGTCATACAAAAAAGGATCCAATTACTTTCTAAAGAAAACAATAATTTTTCTTCTACAGAAAATAAAATTCCAACTTTTCTCTCAAATATTCTTCAATTACTATTTATCTAACTTTCATTAAATTTCTAGTCACCATTTAAGTATGTGTAACGTCTAATTCGCAATAACCCTTCTTGCGTAAACATCCTTTCAATGCATTTATGTAAATTTAAAAATGTCTATCTACCATGAGAATTTCATGTTGATGAACTCTCTTTGTATACCCAAACATGTACTTGAATTTATTATTAAATTTTGTTCAAAGAGGCTTGCAAACATTCAGATCCATAAGCTCTGTGTGTAAAAAATTTGTGGTTTGTTTTTGTAGACTCCCATTCAAAACATTTAACATGTCTGATATCTAGTTTCTTCTCTGCTGAAACTTCACGAAAACTGCAAAATTAATGAACATTATTTATGATGAAATTTTACAGCAAAATCTAATTGAATCGCCCTTTTTGTCATGTTTTCAATCTCATTTTATACTGTGATAAAATACTCCTCTTGCAATGAGATTTAAATCAATGGCAATCATACGCAAGAGAAAAAGACTAACATACCAACTTTTTGTGCATATTTCCTTAATCATAACACATAAATATTTAAGATATTATGTCAGTTATTTAATATAAAGGGAACTGTATAAGCGATCTCATAATCTTAAAAACTTACCCAGCCTAATACTCAGAAGATCTCATTTCTTTTTTTCTTTTTTTTTGGCTTCTGCAAGAGAAAGAGCGTTTCTTCTGCAAAGTTCATGAAGTGTTAGTAGTTAGTTTCAATGTAAGTATATCCCATTTCTAATCTTCAGCGCATGTTATGCCTATTCAATTTTACTTCAAAAGTTCAACCGTGATAGTGCCACATGTATTCATTAAATGACAGTTCAGCATCCTGGAGAAAATTTTGTGTCGCCCAAGATACTATATCATCTTTGCTTCAACTCTCTGTTCACCGATTCAACTGGAGATTTTGTTCTGTTACACTGTGATCCCATTCAGTGGACATTACATTTTTTCTTGTTGACTTTTCATCATTGTGAGCAGACATCAGCCGCCAAAAATGCTTCCGTTCAGATTGTTAATGTGAAAAATTCAGGAGTGCAAAAAGTATTCCATCCTGATAAGAAAAAAATACCAAAAATATCCTAAATTTTTGAAAGGCATTCTAGGATTTAGTTTTACCATGGTTTGCAAAGAGTAATTTATCGATAACCCTAGGTCTCTGGACTCTGCATGTTCTACATATCATTGATTAGCAAAGTTAGCAAAATTCTGACCACATATTGTCAGTATTTGTTCTCCCTTTCATTGTTCACTCCATCATTTAGTGAATACTTATTTGGATTGATTTTGGCAAGTACGATCTGCCTGAATTCTGAGTTGCAGTCACTAACCTGACACAGCTGGAGTTCTGAAAAAATTCCATCTAAAATTTAGCTTGAAAAACTCTAAACAAAGAGACTAAACTATGAAGAAAATTGCGTATCTACTTGTGACACTTATGTTTAGTCTTGGGTGTTAGTGCTGTATGTGCTTTCAATCGGCTGCAGGTATGTTTCTTTTACGAGCTGGCCTCAATCAATCCAGATTATCAGATCACCGTCTACCTTGTTTTTTAATGAAATAATGTATAGCATTATCATAATTTCCCGCGATGAAAAGTTTTAGGCTGTCTTCAGTAGGAAAAGAACAAAAATTAGTAGATAAAATATTATCAAAATGTATGAGGAGCTTTAGAGAAATGCCCATCTTAAAAAAACAAAAAAAAANAAAAAAAAAAAAAAAAAAAAAAAAAAAAAAAAAAAAAAAAAAAAAAAAAAAAAAACTAGCATTCCTGCATGATTTTGCTTCGTCTTAAGAGTTTATATTCAGGATGAGATCACAGGAAATTGTAACTTTAAAAAAGAAAACTTGAAGCCTACTTGTGAATTTTATATTTAATGGTAGAAACGCTCCTTTTTTTGCTGCATATACTTTAGTCCTTAATTGAGAATATCAGTAAATTTTTGTTGTATCGCTTAGAGTAAACTTGGAAATATCAGAGGATTGGTTTTCCTGAATTCTGTAGATGCCCTGATCTCTCTTTGACCATCCTCTTAAATATTTTTAATATAGTTTCTTTTCTTTTCTTAATTACTTGTTCCCACATGATAAAGAAGTCAGGTTCCTTAGCCAGGAATCATATGTAGTCAAATTCCCTTTCATAATTGAATGTATTCTCTAGTTTAATATATGTTACCGCTTTGAATGAAAAAATATTCTTTGTTGAATAAACAAACTAATGTAAAATGTAGCATGTAGGAAAACGGTCTTTTTTTGTCCAGACAACATTTTTTATTTTTTCTCCTTTTGATAGCACTCCGACCTATTTTTTGAGCTTGGTTTTATCGTGTCTCGCTTATTCTTTAAGTTGCGTTTCATATAATTTTCTTTAATAATTTGCTATATTTAGTTTCAATTTTGAATGTATTTTTTTTAATTTCTCCATTTAAATTAAAATGATGATCAATAATGCATCATAAATTTTTTAACTCTCCTTGTTTAAGAGTCATTGAGATTTTTTATCTTGTATACTACCTATCAAAATATAAATTGGTTTTTGTTGTGATTTAAGATGTATTTTAGCTGCAGTAAAAAGCATAAAAGCAACTGTGGTAAGGCTGTTACACAGTTATCTGCTACAATTTTTGCTAAAGCCAACACCTTGCCAAAAATCCTGTTTTCATGCTGATATGAATTTTGTGGTATATTTCCACACAACTGAGAGTTCTCAGGAAAATTTTACTAGATATTTTTTGTATAATGCTGTCCGATTTTTTTTCAGACAAGAAGGTTTAAAGCATAGTAATAATTTTAGTGTTCATCGCAATTTTGTTTTATTCCTATTACGTTTGTTTCAGTTGAAGCTCTGTATAACAAGTCTCACCGTGAGTTCGTTAGTTACCTTTATCTTGTAGCTCCAACATCCCTTATAATGCTGAATCCCATAGGATTCATTCTGATCGGTATCAGCAAGTTGGCAGAGGCAGCGAGTGATGAATCTTCTACTCTTCCAAAAATGGTTTGGAATGTTGTGAAAGGAATTCTTAGTAATCCGGTTGTCTTCATGAGCTCACTGGGTGTCCTTGGAAATATTGTTTTTGATCATCAACCACCAGTCGTAGTGAAAACAATTTTAGATGTAAGTAGAATGGTACAATTAACTAGCTGACATTTGTTTTCAAACTGAGGGGAACTCTATTGAGAACTTTGTAATCATCATCTCTCGGCTCAAAAGAAACTTCCCTGAAGCTCTGATAGATAGTTGAGGTTGAGGTTACCAATCGTTCCCTTATATATAGTTTACTCATGGTCGATTTTCGTCGTCTACTTGAAGTCAATAGTGGCTGTTCATCTATTTTGTAGAAGCAGAGATAAAAGGCGCAGATGTGACAAACCCTGTCTTTGTCTGCCGCACTCTGAGTCAAATGATTCAATCTTACATTTTTTCATAGTTATGAAGGTGATGTCATTCCATTTCGATAGCAAATATCCCAAACCGAGTTCCTTGTTTTCAGTGTTTTGACATCTCTTCTCCTATTTGATTTTTTAGTAGGAGAATAAATCAACATTGTTCCTTGAAGGTGTTTCAGAATTTTCTTCCCACAGAGAAGAAAAATTACAGTAGATTATAAGAATTGATTTTAACTAATTTTCCATTTAAAATATAAAGAATGACAGGAAGTCTACAACGCTGGAAACTGCGTTACATGGATAGTCTCACTATTAATCCATCAAAGGGTTTTTTATTTCAATATGAGAAGAAAAAAAGTGATTAGAGATTTATAGTCAAGTGTGATGAATCGATGAAATATTGAGTTTTGAGTGTCCCTTCAATTAGGGCATTTTAGGTTCATGCTTTCTGGAAAATGATCAATATCACAAGCCACAGATTGTGGTAAAAGGAAGGGAAAAAACAGCACCATCGGGAAAATATTTTTGTTGGTTTTATTATGCATGTCTGGAATGCATTTGTGTTGTTTTCATTTACAGGTTTTTGGACAAGCGTTCTCCGCAACTGCACTATTTTTACTGGGGCTTCGGATGGTAGGAAAAGTCCAAAAATTACAAGGCGCAGCATTACTTACCCCTGTCCTTCTGATTGCAGTAAAATTGTAAGAATTTAAAAACTTCTAACTACCGTTTTTTTCCAGGTTTTTAGGTTTCTCGTTTTAATCTTCCTGTAATACACTTTGTGCTGCATTTTTGTTCGTTAAATTTCATGAATTTTTTATCAGTAACTGTTTAGGAATTACAAAGATCAATTGACCCATGGGTATTAGAATGTGTTCTATTTTTAGCAAATGAGTGTGGTGAGTGTTTTTTGAGAGCTTTCAATCTAAGTTTTCTAGTTTGAACCGTTTTACTTCAGCCAACAGAAGAATCCATTGAAAGAAATATTTTGAAATGAAAAAATGTTTTGTACTATTTTAGGGGTACAGTCAAGAGTTACTAAATAGTTCCACCTAAGAATTACCAAATTGTTTCACCTCCTCATCCTTTAGTCTTGCTGTCTTTCCTCTCTAGCTAACACATCGCAGGCAGATTTGTTCTCTCTTGAGAAACTAAATACGTCTAGAAGATTTGTATTACTTTCAAAAATGACTGCACAAGTGTTCATGAACATAGAAGAAACTGAACGATGATCAAGAGCTCAAGCAAAACAGGTGTTTCAAAAGTTTTGCAGCCGAAACCTCCCTTTGTATATATGTACAATTGTTTAAGATCCAGTGGTGTTTTTACAGAATTGCAATGCCAATCGTCACAAGAGAAGTTGTGAGTGTAACGGTCCGCTATGGGGATAGTAATTCGACCCTAGCGCCTGCTTTGAGTACATTTGGGTTCTTATACGGGACTATTCCAGCAGCCCCAGCTGTATTTGTATATGCCACTCAGTATGGTTTGGATACAGATGTGGTAAGTGAATTAGTAAATTTTATACTTTGGTTTCGACAGTTTTGAAGAATAATTAGTTTTCCTCGCAGTTGAAATATGTGTGGTTTTTGCAGTTTTATAAATGCAAAGTTATAACTAGACTGCGTTAAGCAAAAAGGAACCAAGCCATATCAGCTATTGCCATATTTAATTGGGCAATTTATTTTTTACATGAAAATGTGCGGATTTTTGTGCAAATTTCAATGAATTTTCTGCAAAGTACAAAGCAAATTCTTTAACATTTTCAAGGGAATCTGCACAAACGTTCTCTCGTAAAAAATTAAACTGCCAAGTTAAATTTGGCAGTAGCTGATGTGGCTTGACTCCTCTCTGGTCCAACTATCTGTCAAAATTGAGTGGAATTGTTTTAAATTATAGCATTCCTGGTTCAGATTCTAATTTCAAATGTTACATGCGTTCCAGCTGAAGTTAATCTTCTAATATACTAATGAGAGGCCTTAAAATTGTATACCATGGTCTCTTCCTTTTTTTTATACGTGAAATAATTTGGTCATAAAGTTTTAATTTTCTCAAAATTAGGTAACAAAAAAAACAAATCTCACAGGTATATAAAAAAAGTAAGAAAAAACAATTCTTATGGCAGAAGGATCCTTGCTGAAGATGATTTAAAGATTAAGAAAATATTAACTAAAACTGAACCATAAAATTCATATTACCGTATATCATAATGAATTTTGTAAATGAATTATTTTAGATTGCTGCAGCAATGGTTCTGTGTACTTTCATATCTGCACCTTTAATGTTTGCTTCGGCCAAAATGATCGCAGCGACTGAACAACCCTCCGACAATTTTATAGATGCTCTTAGCAATTTTGAGTTTGATACGAGCATTATTGGATTCATTGCTTGTGTAAGTTACTTTTTTTTATTCCTTTCGCCATCTTCTCATTTTTGGTTTCAAAATCTGTGAACCTGTAATGTTAGTTTGCACAACATAAGATACATCATATCATGTAAAGTTTCCCTGGTTGAAACTCGTATCCACTCAATTATCTCCTTATGAGCAGTGAATACATTGTGGTGGGACCCAATATTTTTATATATTTTAAAGACAAAAGGTAGATCCAACAGAAATACTTACACTACCTCTAAAAGTAAATCATTCAAGGAATTGGACAAAAAATTGTATTTCTTTTATCTGTCTTCCCCATTTTTTTATCTCTTTCTAAATTAATGGTTGATTCGCTCCCATTCATAAAGTATTATTGCTTTCAAAATGATGCTTTAAATTATCCTCTGTTTTCCTCTAATCTGTATAATTTTATTTTTTTAGTTGTGGGTCTTAACTGTCTTCCTTGTCGGTAAAGATTTTTGGAAGTTACCGGTCAGAGTCACAGCATTATTAATTGTACCTGAGGTGAGTTGTACCTTTAATCTGTCTACCTATACACTCTTTTTCATTTACATTTTTTCACCAAAAATTTATTTTACTTCTAAAATATTTTGATTTTTCACTTGTGACTCGAAACGTGGGGCTTGCTTCTCAATGAGGAGTGTTCCTTCCCCTTTCTGTTGTTCAAAGTGTGAACAACGTGCAGCAGCTGAGCAAAAGTGCCAATATTAAAGTTGCCATATTCTCATACAGCAAAGAATGTCATGGTAATATTTAGTATAAGATTAAACTCAAACATATTATGGTTTTTATATGAGCAGAAAGCTCAAATTGATAAATTGAAAAACGATACTGTTGCTATTATGAGTTACTTTCAGTAATTTTTGTCGTACAAATTGTTTTCCTCCTGAAATTTTTATGAGAAAGCTTCCATCAAACGCTGACTTTTGCATATTGTCTTGATCCATTGTAAATTAAACCAATGATCAAATTGAAACTCCGAATCCTTGTATTAATTTTGGCCACCACCATATAGAGCTCAGGTTTTTTATCGTTTTTTCTTTTAAAGGACTACGTGCAAAACGGGCCGTTTGGGGCTCAGGGCGGATACCTTTGAGACTTGCCCTATTCATTCACCTAACAATGCCCCATCTTTTCCTAAAGTTTCAAGCCCCCCAAAAATTTTGGGGAGACGCGGCGGGGGGTCAAAGTTAAAAACCGGCAAAATTTTCGCGAAGTTATTACTCAAAAACCAAGAAGTTTTGGAAAACGCGGTTTAAACGAGCGTATTCAGCGTGACGAGAGCTTTCAGAAAATGTATAACATCATAGGGTTTTGTCAACTTCAGCTCGAGTTATCGCCTCCGAAGCGCCGGAACGCTCAAAAAAGACCCCTTATTTTTTCACGTTTGGGCCGATTTAAAGAAAAGCCATTTTTATATTTTGATGAAAAACTGATATGTTGTTCCTGACTCTCTGTAGCCCCTCTAGCTCTTTACCGCATGCTGGGAAATGTTTTGGTCGCGAGTTATAAGAGCGGAAAGGAGCGAATGTCGCGAAAATCGGCTATTTTAAACTGCCCGCGCGGCGTTGATCGGAGGGAAAACGTCCCCTCCCACTCAGTTCGCCGAATCATACTTCTCTGCCGACCTCGCATTGTTGCCACATGTCTCTTGATCCGTCGCCGCGCGCAGTTTAAAATAGCCGATTTTCCCGACATTCGCTCCTTTCCGCTCTTATAACTTGCGACCAAAACATTTCCCAGCATGCGGTAAAGAGCTAGAGGGGCTACAGAGAGTCAGGAACAACATATCAGTTTTTCATCAAAATATAAAACTGGCTTTTTTTTAAATCGGCCCAAACGTGAAAAAGTAAGGGGTCTTTTTTGAGCGTTCCGGCGCTTCGGAGGCGATAACTCGAGCTGAAGTTGACAAAACCCTATAATGTTATACATTTTCTGAAAGCTCTCGTCACGCTGAATACGCTCGTTTAAGCCGCGTCTTCCAAAACTTCTTGGTTTTTAAGCAATAAATTCGCGAAAATTTTGCCGGTTTTTAACTTTGACCCCCCGCCGCGTCTCCCCAAAATTTTTGGGGGGCTTGAAACTTTGGGAAAAGATGGGGCATTGTTAGGTGGATGAATAGGGCAAGTCTCAAAGGTATCCGCCTCGAGCCCCAAATGGCCCGTTTTGCACGTAGTCCTTTGTATTGTTTCCGACTGAAAATGACTCAGTTTTGAGTCGAAACGTCTCGGATTTCATTAATTGTGTATTTTTAGCCTTGTTTCCCGTTTTTTATCCTTGTTTTTCCACTGTTATCATTGTCTTGGGCTGCTTTTAAAAATTTGTATCTATAATTTTGCAGATGATCAGTTGTATTGGAGTGATCTTAGGGCATCTGATCCCCAGTAAACAAATGCTGCGGTTCTTTTTGACAACTATCGGTAATCTCTCCACTGATCTGCTGACAGCTGCGCTTTGTGCCACTATCCTATGCATTCAGGCACAAAAATTCTCTGTCCTACTGAAAGGAGAAATGCTTGTTCTAGGATTTTGTTTAGGGTAAGGTACCTTTTGCAACAAGTCAAAACACTCTTCAGAAAAGAAAATTCCAAAGAACTTCCTCAAAAAAATCTCTAAACTGCACCAAAATATTTTCTTATAAATGAGGTCCATTCACTATTATTATGGTCTTTAAGGACAAAATTTTGATCATCGCAGTTTTTTCACCCTTAATCTGCCTTTTTTCTCTCTTTTTCTTTTTTTGTGAAGGGAATTCCGTTTCTTGATTGTTTTCAAGCATTGCAATCGTTAGCATGTTGGTGTGTAATATGCACCTCCATAATTTTTCAAAAGAGCAAAGTAAAGTCTTTTCAAAAGTAGCACCAGAATAAATTGACCCAGATGAAGAGAATAGCCTCAAGTCTGCCCTTATTTTATGTCAAAGGTCTACCTGTAAAATTAAAAATTTGATGAATAGAAATCAAACAAACGTAATTCAATGTTGTTATCTTTGTTGCATGGATTTTGACTTCTCTAAGGAGTCAATTTTATAAACCTCAATACACATCAGGCTTTATAGCTTCTAATTAGAGGTGTCGTCAGCTAAGTTGATGGTTGTTTAATTCCGGTTTGCAGGCGTTTTCGCGTCACTGCTATCCACATGAAAACATCTGGCTCTCTCAGAAGCAAGAACACAAGCTTAGATAAGTTATTTAATACTTTCAAACCTTGAAATACTTTAATTTTTAGCCACACAGAAATCACAACCACAAAAAAGTCACAAATCATAACTGATAAGTAGTTTTTTTACGATACGATCATGAGATTGATGTTTTCAATGTGGATAGTAGCAAGCGCCGCTTTGTTCAGAGGCCCAAATTCGTCGTTGGCGCTTGCAAACCGAAAGTAAACAACCATCAACTTAGCTGATGACACCTATATTACTCTATGAAAAATATTTAAGGAGCCAAGTTTAAGCAGGCAGTTTTAGTTTTAATCTTGACTCACTTCTCTAGCCTTTCCTCTCAACTGTTGTGAACAATTCTCAAAATGTGTGAAAATATATTTAGTATTCCTATCAGCACATTCAAATTTCTTTATAGGTTTATAGTTGTAATGATCAAGGTGTAATTTTACCAATCTATTCTACAACAATTTCTAATCCTGTTCATTTTTTCAGTTTTCCAATTTTAGCTGTAAGTGTTCTAATGTACTTGGTAATGCCTTCTCCAGTGCACACCGAGTATGACTTTAATTTTATGTATGGGTCTCCAGAAGCTGTCCTCTATTTGCTAGTCCTCCTTGTGTCTTTCATAGGTAAGAATTTCTTGAAAAAAAATATTCACATTTCCTTGGAGTGTATGAGGCCCTTTTTACTCTCTATTTGTATTGACTTGTAAAAATTTGAACCAATTAGTTGCATGAGGACTTTGGTCCTTCCTATTGTTTCAAAATTGCTGCTAAAAGCGTATTTTTGTTGATGATCGGTCGAGCCAATGTGCCCCGATAATGGCAGGGAAATCATGAGGGCTTTTTTTATCCGAACTGCAGAATATCACTGCGGAACGCATCACTTTCTTATCCCATTCCACTGGTGCATTCCAGTGCGCTCCATGTGTTCCAGTGGAACGCTTGGACCGCTCTTCTGAGATGAGTTGAGGTCGGTTGAGGCTGCGGTTACGTCGGTTGAACCAGCCTGAACTACTACAATTGCGTTCCATGCGTTCCACTGATAAAAAAAAAGCTCCATAATCGGGCTGGTAAGCATTTGAGGTTAGATTTCGAAATTGATACTGGTTGGATGCCATCATCTTCATCAGGTCATTTCTAAACCCTACTTTTTGTAGGATTATATTTTGGCCCCAACGTTTGCAAGAATTCCACCTTCTATCTGTCTGGTGAGTCCCGATGTTCCGAAAAATTATGATTGTGTCAAAAAAAAAAAAAAAATACGAAACCACTTGATCCACCCATTTGATTCGACCGATCATCAACGAAAATACGCTTCAACTTATCATCTTAGTATTAATGATGGATCCCCAATAAAATTTCCTTAGAAATTTTACTGAATTTTTAGGTTGCCAGGGGAAGATTATCCATTTTCCCAAGCTTGGTTTTCCGTTAATATGAAAATAAACTCTCCTTGGCAATCTTGTAACTTTGCGATAGACTGAAGCTCTCCTGGAAAAGTCAGTTCATTTTTCTCTAGATTTGGAAAGACGCTTATCTCAAAATTTTTTTTTGAGTTCCATCATTTTGAAATTGATTATCCCATGTATGCTTGTTTTAACTTGGAGGAATGTTTATTTCCCTTGTTGAGTCTGTGCCAACTAAGTTCACGCACTTTTAGACTGCGAGGGGAAATCCGCCATCTTGCTTCTTGCATTTACATTCTATGCAAAAATGGCGTCGGACAATCTTCTTTTTCAGTCTAAAAGTGCGTAAACTTGTTTAGCGTGATCTTTATGTAGAATTTATTTTTTTTGCTCCCCTTATTAGAGGTCGTACTGCTGCCAAGTATGGCAGGAATAAACAATAAAAGTTCTTACCTACGTACCCACTGTATGAAATGTTTTTGTAACTTATCAATAGCTTCATGGTTAATCATCTGTAAAGTTAATAAGCGTTTTAAAATAATAACTGTTCTAAAATTATAAAGAAATTTCGTCCAGTGGTCCTACCCTTTCACTTTATTTAATTATTTAAGGTTCTGTGAGTGAAATGAGATCAATTAATTTCTCACCCTATCGGTGAAAGGGCATCTAGTATGATCTCGTCATCACGAAAAAAAGTGAGGTGGGAAAAATTTTTGTTAAAAAATCAGGTAAAAAAAATTTGAAAAGTGATGCTGCCTGAAATACTATAAACTGATACCATTGGATTTGACTGCGGTCGTTCATTTTTGACTGGTCAGCCTCAAATATGCAGTTAATTGAGCATGCCGTAATATGCATCATAACATTGTTGCTTTCAGTCATTACCGTTTGAGAAAGATGGGAATAGTTGATAGTGCAATCGTTTGATAATGAGCCTCTGTTGAATTGCCTGTGAGCACCTGGACCTATTTTAATATCCGTCCAGTCACACTTTTAGGAAATATTTTTCAGCTCTAAATCGTAATGTATTTAGCATCTTAAATTTTTGGAATTTTTACAGGATCCGTTTGTTTTTTAACCCTTGGACAGCGGCTGAGGATCCGAAATGCACATTTTCTCGCTCTAGTCTCTGAAGCAAATGGCATGACAGCTCACGATCGAATATCTAATCTAGCTGAAAATGGTTTATCCTCAACTAGTGTGAACAGTAATGAATCATCGTAAGTTGTTATTTACTTTAACGTTAGGAATTGGTATTTTATGAAGGACTGAGTGACATAGAACAACATATGTATTGATGGCCTAAGTGCAAAACCATGTATCCCTGTTTGCAACATTCTAGACTTCCTGTCATACTTAATTTCTCCTTTGTTTAACCAGTCAACTTCCTTGCGTTTTCTTCTCTGTCAGCAGAATAAACTGTTCGAAAAAATCAATTAGGAGCCGAAATTTTGAAACGTCACAATGCAGAAACGTGGCTTTGCTTTTTGGCCATGGATATCTGAAAAATTAGCATATTTTCCTAAACCCAATTTTGAAATAAGTTTAGGTTTTCTGCACAGAATGCCAACAAGAAAAAAAAAAAAGTTAAATAAAAAAAGTATTCTCAAGTTTGTGCCTAAAATCAGTTTGCATAAAAAATTTCACTTTTTCTGTGGCTTTTTTGATCCGACTAATTGTGTTAGCTGTGCGAGTACTTCAGCGAAGATTCACTTTTAGATGCAGAAGTGAGCTATTGTCAGTCTTGAGGGCTGTATCATAATGTATTTTTTTGCAATTCACTTACAACACAATTTCAGTAAGGGAACCTGAATGCAAAAGATATCTTATATTTGATGAAAACAGAGAGAAGGAAGGGGGGGGGGAACTGGGGCTAGTTTACTAACTTGTTCCAAAAAAATACTCTACACACTTGATTCAATTTCTTTAAGTACTAGAGTGCTAAACTCAGTGCGATCCTAGACCAAAACTACCGCAAAACTGTGGAAACTCAGCATGTACAAGTAATCAGAATAGAATAAGTGTAGAAATTCTTCGTGAAACTATCATCAAACTTCACATGGCAGTAAAAGTGAAAAAATTCTGTTGGTATTACTTGCTTAGCCCTGTTTTACGATATTCTCAAGACTGAGTTTTAAGTAGCGGAAAGCCATGAAAGGCGCGAAAGGGGAAAATATAACAAGAAATAGGGTATTAATTTTACCTTGAAAAAATCTGCATCATTCTCAGCTGTAAAATTGTGACATTTGGAACAGTTCCTCTTATTGGTAATTCTGTGTTCCAGAGCAACGGAGTCGCTGTTAGATAGTCCTGCAACGCCTCGAGAAAGCAGAGACAAATTAATGCCTCACATCATTTTTGTGATACTAATAGCCTGTGGAATTTTCGTGGTAAGTGCAATACTCGCATAACAAATTATAATTTTGGGTAGGAAGTATAGGATTAAAATTTACCTGTTGCTCACCAAATGGAATTTCTGTTTCAGTGAGTACCTCCCTGGTCCTTCTCAGTGAACTATAAATTAAATTATAACTCATGATAAAAAGTGCTGACTATTTTAGGTAGCTGCATCATAAACAGGTCGATTTTATGTAATTCCTTTTCAGGAAGAGCCCGTGAATTACTTAGTTTCTATTAAACTCTATAGTCAGAGCACAGTCAATGATGTTTTAATTAGAGTTGGGCCGAAATGGAATTTTCGCGTCACCGGAACCGGATCCGGATATCTGTTTTTTGTATCCGGCCGGATCCGGATACCGGATAATTCAAAAAAGTATCCCACCGGATCCGGATAGTACCGGATACGGATAGTACCGGATCCGGATAGTGCTTTTTCGCGCGAAAAATGTCGCGATTTTTGAGGTTAAGTTTACTCGACTCACGATCGGTCGTAGCTAACAAAATTCGGGCCTTGAATTTCTTTCCTTATTTCTAGTGTCGCAATTGCAATAGTACAAAACTCATGGTTGACAAATAATATGTGTCATAAATATAGCAAGGCAGTTTCTAGCTTTTCGCAGCTGTGCTCATATGTTCAGCAGGAGGGTGTTATCAGAAGTCAGAAATGTAAACAAAACAAAAGTGGAAAACAGCGCTGCCAATCTGACACTTTTGAAAGCACCGCCGCCGCATGCCAATCCAAAGTCACAGCAAATCAAAGCCTGTCTTGACGGAAAATTATTCGGTCAATTTCTGTTGATGAGAATCTCTAAATGAACGAGAGAAATGGATGTTTCAACCGATCACAAACTTAATTGGCCTTCGTTTCGATATTACCGAAACAAACAGCGTGCTGCGACACTACGATGAATGCGGAGTTTTGCACCGACTAAAAACGGGGAATTATGCATATGTTGGTGGCGTTGTTGTTTGTTATTCTCTTTTCCACCTGCATCTATGAAAGTGAAACACGCGGGTCGCGGACTTAAGGAATTTACGTTGCGATCAGCGGAGAAGAAAAAAAAGTCAAAAGTTTCAGGAAAAAATACAGAAAATTGTATTGATAGGGAAGAAAAAAGAAAGAATATCACCAAAAATTTATCGAAATTTTCAGGGCCAAAAAAGCACTATTCGGCGGGTCCAAAAAACGGATAGCGCGATTATCCGGCCGGATCCGGATACTCGCGAAAATCGTATCCGGCCAGAGCCGGATATCCGGTATCCGGCCGGATAATCCGGCAATCCGGATAATCGCCGGATACCCGGCCCAACTCTAGTTTTAATTGAAACAGCCCATTCATGTATTACAATCCTATAGTCCATTTTGTGAAACCTGAGACTTTATTCGGCATTAAAATCCGTAAATGGCAACGCATCAGTCTCGGATTCTGGTGACCGGACCGCTTGCCGGACACCCTCTTTTGTTCAGCGCCCATAGGCCGGCAATCCATCCATTGTGAGGGTAGGAACAATGGGCACCCTTCATCCCTCCTTAATGAGCCCTAGTACGTGGACTGAAATTTTTTTCTTGCTGAAAAATTCATCTTTTGGCGTGAAAATTTAGTTCCAGCGTGAAATTATGGTAAAAACGCACTAAAATTTCGTCCAATTACACGCTGATACACGACATTTTGCGGCGAATCGTGGTCACACGCAAATGCCTTGTATCAGCTCAAAATTGAGATAATTAAGATAGTGCGTTTTAACCATAATTTCACGCTGGAACTAAATTTTCTGGCCAAAAGATGAATTTTTCAGCAAGAAAAAAATTTCAGTCCTTGTACTAGGGCTCATTAAGGAGGGATGAAGGGTGTCCATTGTTCCTACCCTCACAATGGACGGGTTGCCGGCCTATGATCGCTGAACAAAAGAGGATGTCCGGCAAGCGGTCCGGTCACCCAAGTCTGAGACTGATGCGTTGCCATTTACGGATTTTAATGCCGAATAAAAAGTCTCAGGTTTTGTGAAATGGACTGTAATGGTAGATTTTTCAAATTTTGTGGAATAATATCTGTTACATTTATGTTGAAAAGTTGCAAAAAAATCCATTAATTTGTAAGTTCAATTGGAAGTTTCTCAACAGATCACGCATCTGTGAAGTATGGGAAGATTTTTAAACTTAAGAAGCTAAATTATTTCAGAAATTGATCGTACATATGTCGAATTGGCAAATTTTTTTGTTGAGTTTTAGTGTCAATCAGTGAGGAAGTGAAAGAAAATCATTTTATTTCCCGTACATCTTCTGATCTCCTCGGAAAATGTTGGTTTCTTTATCATCAACCATGTTTCGCACCTTTTTTTATTTGTTAAATAAGTTTTGAAAAAAAAAATGAATGAAATTAAATCAATCAAAGTAAATATGATTAAAAGATTGTGAGCGCAAAATTTGAAGATTGTTTATCTTTTATCTTAGAGGGCTCTAATTGTCTTGGCTGTGTTTTCTGCCGATTCTCTGACCTCAAGGACAATCTATCTAAGAAGTTTAAGTGCTGTTGTTGAAAATTGCAATTTTCTTTCAACTTTTGTGCAGAGCACAAAAAAGAAAGGCATTGTCTTGTATTCTACAACAAATTTAAATCAACTTTTCATGTCACAACCTTCTGCCTTCTTTTGTATTCTTCTTTGTATTCATGATCGTTTTCTCAAACCTTTCCAGAAACTCGGTCTCATGCTGTGGCGTTTAATTCTTGATGAGATGACTGGTGTTTATGTAGAAATTGCCTTCTTTGCCATTACATTGAGCAGAGGAAAGGGTATAATCGCCTTCTTTTTGTTTGGAATTGACTCAGCAACAGTGTTCAAACCCATGTGCAGGAGGTACATACATTTTGTAATCTAGTCAACAACTCTTCAATTTTTTTTAAGGAAATGTTAGGTAGATGCACTGATTTCATTTAATTTTCTTCCTCACGTACAAACTAGAGGCTTTAAAGAGGCTCATCAATTACTCCGACTTGTATTGCTGACCAATGAGAAAGCCTATGGCTAGAAAAGCCATATCTATGAGCGTCAGTAAGAGCTTAAGTTTGTGCATTGAGAAGAACCTTTACTCAATCCTTGGTTACCTTATAGAATGAAAGAGTGAGGAAAACCTGGAAAAAAAAATTGGGAAAAGTACTAAAATGCTTTGTGGCTGTTGTGTCGTGTAGTCTCAGCTTTTCTCTCAGCTGGGCCCGAAAATCTCGAAATGATTATTTTTAATTCTGTCTTGTCCCAAAAGTTAGGTAATTTTCACGGTATGCAGTAGGGAAGAAGTCGACAGTAGAAACGTTTCAATTACAAATTTCTGTGACCACTCTGCAATTGATTTTTAATTGACTGTCTAAAATATACATTTGACATCCTGGGAAAGGTAATCTTTAGTTTCTGTTTTAGAGCTATGTCTACAGCATTTTTTATTTTTTCAATGTTGAAAAAATTTCCGGGTAGATACTTTTAATCAAAAATACCATTTCAAAGAAAACCAGGTTTCCAATTTTTTTTATTTTTTTGCGCAAGCAATGACTGGTTGTGAGTCTCCTAGGACAAAAATCTGTTTGTGAATTTTGAAGGATCAAAGTTGACATTGCGCAAGTAAATTCAGTGCTTATGTAACTCACTACTGCCTAAAATCAATCGAAATCAATCAATCAAAATCTTTTATTCCAAATTTTTTATTTGAACTTAAAAATACAATAGTTGCACACAGAATGTTGGATTTGTCTCCTTAAAATTTAGCTTTCTCTAAAAATTAACCATATTTTAGTGCAAGTGGGCATTGATAGCTTTTTTTCATTCAGGAGATATAAAAACTACAAGAGATTCAGCTTTGATCTCCCATAGTGTCTTCAAATTTTTTGTGGGTTTGAAATATTGGTCAAAAATTTCTTTTTCAAGAGACTTCAAGGGATGCTATACCCTGTATTTTATTCTGTTCCAAAGCAAAAAGGCACCATACTCGATTTCAGTCATTTTGAGGAACTAAAGAAAAGTGCATGTCATCCTTTGATTCCTATGTAAATCACAATTTTTGGAGCTTAACAACTCAGAACTGGTGCTCGAAAGGGCTACCAATGTTGTTACACAAACAGATATTTTATTGAAAATCTTTCACAATGCTGATAACTATATTGTCCCAAAAGTGTGAGGTAGGCACTTTCTTGCCTTACTTTTTTGAGCTCTGTGTTTTTTTCACAATTTTTTTTCCTTCCAGAATTTTAACTCTGTGGTACGGAGGGGAAAGTTTTGAACTTCCCTCACTCGATTCCTTGTCTCTGGAAACGAGGACTGCCTGTGATCAATTCCGATCTCAACACCTAGAATCGTGCAAAAAGGATATTGCAAAAGATTTGCGGTAATTATACACATATTTCTAATGTCTATTGTTTCTGTTGGGTCTTTTTTAAAATTTGGTCTCCTTTCAATGTTGCATTTAATTAATTAAACGTCAACTGTTTTATCAGATTTAAGAAATTTTATCAACCTTAAGGAGTTTTACCCTCTTAAATGAAAAGTAAAGTGGACGATTCAAACTGCTGATTGCCTTGCTGTCCATGATGTAGCCTTTAAAAAGTCAAAACGAATAAAATAATGGGTACTTATTAAGTTATCTTAATATGTTACGGCATGTGGTTTTCACTGGAGGTTGCAAGGGTTTCCTGTGTTCTTCTCTGTATGGCACTTGCTTGCTTTTGTGTGTCCAGAGGAAAATTCTCTCTTTGGTTCAACTTTCTCAATTCAGTTTCTGAATGTCTTCTGTTTTTTGACTCATCATCATTGTTTTTATCGTTCTCACGCAATCATCTTTCACTAACAAGTGTTTTATCATCTCCAACATATCGAAAGATCAGAAAATGAACCATTCTTTTTGAGAGTTTCAAAGGACTTCTCGCCATCGAGAGTAATCATGAATTGTGTTTTAAGCCTACAAAGTTGCTGAGAAAAAAAACAAGTAGGAGTATGCAATTCTTTAAGGATAATCATATTTATTGTGAAAATAAAAATTGAGTAAATTGAAGACACAATGGGTTTCTACTTTTTCCAGGTAAAATTGCACAAAAATCATGCTTGGCTAATCAAAAAAGGCTAAAATCCCCTCTTTAGCGTGCAATCTGTATTTTATTACATACTTTTTCAAATTTACCTCACTTACCAGCAGTTTTTCCTCATGCCTGGCCGTCAGGTTTGCCGAGAGAACATTTTGAACAATAATCATGGGGGAAAAACAATTTATTTTTCTCATTAGAGCTAACAGATGTCGAAATTACCCTTACTAGTTTTCTAGCATTGCTCCCAAAATTTTCACTTTCAAACTTCTAAATACCTGGTAAAATTTTGTCTTGCAGTGAGAGTGTGAAAATTCTGATGAATGCCTCGTTTTTTCCCATTTCTTACAGATGCGGAATATTCATGGTAAGAGATTGCTTTTGTGGGGCATCCTTTTTAGACTGGCTTGTTGAAAACTCCGTTGTGAGCGAGCGCGAGGAGGCATTTCACTTAGCAACACAGTTGGTACTTGGACGTGTTCTGCGGCATGTGCATTACGACAGACACTTTAAAGATGATTCCAATATCCTCTTTGTCTTCACCTGAGTATCTCATTTACGCCCAAAATATCTTGCTTTGTACTTGTTTCCGTAGTGTCTCCTTAATCAGGATGAAACGGGAAAAAGTCGCACAACTTGTCTTGTTTGATTATTGAATGTTTCAAAAGTTAAGTCGATCATATGGAACCATTAAAAAAAAATGCATCACTCATCAAAGTGTATGTCCTAGTGCACAGCTGCTCAGCTCATGTGGAAGAGTTACCAAAACACCAAGAGTGAGAAACTCTATACCTCTGAAATTTTTCTATGAAACAAGAATATGGTACCTATTCGGAGGAAAAATCCCTATGTTATTTCTTATACCTGTTGTGGATTTTGATCTCAGTTATCAAGATCTATAGATGTTCATTTTTGTTTTGTCTAATTGCATGGCTATTCGATCAAATGAAAAGTTTAACTAATGTACTCAACCAATTTAAATCTTTTTCTATACTTGAAAACTGAATCATCACTCATGGTCAAATATTATAATTTACTCAAAGAAAAATCTGAGGCTTCTGAATCACTGTATCCTATTTTCGAAGAGTAATTTTAAAAGGAATTTTGACTTTTTCCCACAACAAATTGTCAGAAAACATCCTGTGAAGTCAAGGTCTTAAGATTAATGATCATTTTTCTGTACTTTGTTGATAAGTTTCATGTACACGTTAGCTCAAATTTTCAACTATCACGGGGCTCCTAATTTTTCTTGCATGCTCTCTTCTTTAGTCCCATCTTGAATTTATATTATACATTTTGGTTTCTTCCGAGGAAATTATTCATTTTTTTTTCTTTTTTCTTCAGTGTGGAAACTCTTTAACTACTAATTTTGAAATTGCTGAAGACAAATTGTAATTTTATAAAAGAAATTTACCAAAAATAAAGTCCGACTGAACTGTGCTTCTTAAGGTTTGGGTCAGCGTAAGTTAGGTTCCTTCCGTTAAATAATTTATCGTAAAAAAACCCTTTTCTTCCCGCTCTGTAAAGTGTACCCTCATCATTTTCCCATGGGAATTTAAAATTCATCTTGTTTACTCTTAATACCTGTGCACTATCAGTTGTTTTCTCAGACCTGCCCTTCAAAACTGTGTCCCTAAACTCATAGCTCTCACTTTTTTCCACCCAAATATTTTTCTTTTCATATTCTTGTAAATTGCTTCTGTTTTCTTTGATTTGTGTTTTATGTTTTGTTGGAACGGATTTGCTCCATTATCAAAAGCATGCTCCAAATATTTTCCTCATATTTTTCTCTCCTCTTTATTTGGATCCAAATGATGGAGGTAAATAGTAATCTTAAGCGAAAATATCATTATGTGCCAAAACTTAGTAGAAAAGCTGTTGAAAACATTTATGAAGCTCATTTCGACAGTGAAACTACCAAAACACGTGTCTTTTTTGCAGTGCTAAAAAATTTCTGCTCCCATTTTATCTCAACATGGAAGAACAAACCAACAATATAGCTTGAAATTTTCACTAAATATCTTTCACATTAAGAGGACAAATCAAGAGAGTTTTCTGCAATGCAGTTGATGAGTTTGTTCCCATTTCACAAGTTAATTATATGTCTGAAGATCTCCAGTGTCGCAAACCGAGATGCGCACTTTTGTAGTTTCACTGTCGATTTGTGAGTATAGACATTCAAGTTTTTCATTTATTTGAAACCTCCTTTGGTCTGAAATTATTTATGATGTACTTGCGTGTCATTGAATTTAGCGGAAAAATGTAATAAGTAGGCAATGAAAAACAAATTATTAACAGAGGAACGTTATTTTGAAAAATTATTCATCTACAACGTGTGTTTATTAATATTTCAAGATTTGAGAATTTATTTTATAAATTAAACATAAAATTACCTAACTGATAGTGTCCTTGCTTACTTTACTTAGTGCTTGCTTTACTTTTTGAAAATAATATGTAAATCTAATCACAAAGAGCAAGTACCAAATGAACTGCCGGAAGGTTCTGAGCTGTTGCACAGTTTTTTAATTTATTGCCGTCATGATACATTTCACACCATTAGGAAGAACAAATCAACCTTATCATTCATCCAGAACTTTCGACTTTTCGTATGCAACGCAGAATCAGGCCTAAGAAATCGAAACTTTGAACGTGTAACCAAGAAACATGTGTGGTTTGTTGGACAATGAAAATGTCTGTTCAATTTTTGTACTTATTTTGCTGTTACCAATGGCCTCCCATATTGGTACAAATGCATGCATATGGGAATGAAAACTCTGTAACATACTTGCAACATGCACCATTGGCACCTAAATATTACCTTTTTTTTTTTATTTTTATTTTTTTTTTATTTTGGAAACTCATTTAATCTGTTTCATTTGTCAGATTTTATACACCCCTAAATTTTCATTTGATTTTCTCTTACAGAGATGTGAATGCTGGCCCACCATGCACCCATTTTCTTTCTATGATGTGAGATTGAGAAACGTGTTTTTGATCATTATGCTGATTTTTGTTTTTGTTTTCACTCTTGTTTTGTAGTGGCACCTTCGTTACTATCAAACTGCTGTTTTTAATAATGATATGATTGGATTTTTATGATTTCAAAATTATTGATTTAATAAAAACGAACAGTGTGTTGTTCTCTCCTCGAGGAAATAGGAGGGGAGGAATTTTATTTTGAAAAATCTTTGCTTTCTTGGATTTTTGAAATCAGTACCATAAAAGAACTTGAGAAAAATTTCGCCAAATCTAAACCAAAAGCTCTATTTATACTTCTTTATCAGTCCGGGTAAAAGGAAAGAAGAGTAGGTGCAGAATTATAGATTGAGGAGGAATAAGTTATGTATTTTTCCTTGTGTAAAATTATTTTATGCATTGAGGAGTAGACCGCTACCAGGACTGCTGAATTCAGCCAGGAATTCAGAGGAAAGGTCCTCGAGCTCAATAGAAAAGCTTTTTGGTAAAAATTCGCCTAGGTCTTCAAAATCTCCATTTAAAGCCTTTTTTGGGGCTTTCTCAGTTGGAGCCTCTAGTTCATTCACAGCGGTAGAATTAATGTTATCTAATTTTGTATATGTTGGTTTATTGACATTTTTCATTTGGCCAGAAAACTGATTAATCTTTTATTATGAATTTTTTATTTTTGTTGAGAAACACTGTTCAGGAGGCAATATGTTCTTCAATTCAGTTATCATACTAAGTTGTCCAAATATTGAAGACTTTCAACAGAAAGAATTCAAGGTCCCCAAGCTCAATAGAAAAGCTTCCCGAGAAAAATTTGTTTAAGTTTTCAAAAATCCCCATTTTAAGCCTTTTTTGGAACAACTTTCAACTCACAAAATTAAAAGGAGTGTTACTTTCTTCACTCATTTTATGTATTAGAGATACTAAGATCTTGTGAGACAGTTTCGATTGGACTGTGAGCAAAGGGATCAAAAGATCTCTGAAATTTGAAAGCGTATATGTACAATTTCAATCTATCGATCCTTTTCAAGGACATTTTAGTCACTGTCATATTTCAAGAATGCAAGTGAATCTAGTTGACTGTTTGAAATTTCGGCGACTAGATTCATCGAGCCCTGAAAAAATTTCTCTTGTGATATAAATTTAGTAAAGGAGTTGTGCTGAAGCGTATTTTTCGTATGTGTTTTATTTTGTGATTTTTATTATACTATTAGTCGTTAAGTTGATAGTCTGAGGAAGTATACTGTGCGTTAATGTTATCTATCTTTCCATTGTTTCTGGTCCTTTGGCAATAATCTGTCAGTGGTTGTAATGATCTGGAAATTGAGGAGGAAAGTAATTTTATCGATTAGCTGTTAATACTTTCCAAGTATGTAACATGATTTCTGTTGAAGGAATGAAATTTCTCTGGTAAAAATTAAAAAATGTGAAAGTAACCACTTTCTTCTATCCAGGCATTTCTGATAAAATTTTGAGGGTCATATTCTCCGAGGGATTCTTTCGAATCATGCTCCTTAACGCAATGGCAATTCTAGTGAGTTCTCAACACTACATCTGCTCCATTTAAGCCATTATAAAATAATAGAAGATTCTAGGCGGGACAGCCTGTCCCAATAAAAATTGATGATTTTACATACATTTAAATGGATGGAACCTAGCATTGTTAACTTACAAGAATTGTCTCAGTCATAATGCGAAATTGTTCTAAAGAATTTTATTTATTGATAACATAACATTATTGGTTTTCTTAAATCAGTTGTGTGTTCACGAGATATTATTTATAAATCATGGAGTGTATGTTTAGTCCCTGGTGAAAAATACTTTCTCTTTTATTTTATGTGCAAGAGAAAAGAGTCCTCTTATTTTAGAAATTTTATGCGGTATGAAAATAAACTTTCAAGCATACCAATTTATTTTTTGTGAAAATATTTTTTATGTTTTTTTATTTGGTGGAAAATTTCTGCTAGTATTAGACTGATTATCTTGAGGAAGAATTGAGAAAGGATAATATGAATTATACAAAATGTTTCCCTGATGAAAATTTTTCTTAGCAACTCAAAATACCACTGAGGATTACTTTTTTTCCTATACATACTGTTAATTTAAAAGTTTGTTGGAAACCGAATGAGGTCAAAATGCTTTCATCAATGCTGATTCTTTTTTGTTACCTCATAAAAGTTTTTAAATAAATTAATATTTATTTTTTACACATTATGAATTTTTAATTGTAATCCCGGACCAAACACTCTGGCTCTCTGTGATTTCTCCCCAATTTTCCCACAACTTCAAATTTGGAGGACAGTTTTACACAAAATGAATGTGAAAACTTAAAAATTTTAGGGTGCGTAACTTCCTTCAAGAGGCAGAGTAAAATAAAACAAATCAAAAATCGAATATGAAATTAATAATTATTCTAAACATTATAAAATCATAACAATAATACTGCAATACGAAAATTGAAGATGATTCGGACAAGTACAATTGTCAGTATCTCAAAAAAGTGGGATCCCTAAAAATGAAAGAGGAATGACCCATCATAGTTCAGATACTTTTAACACATAAAAAAACAACTAATCTTCCTTACATTTTCAGAAGATGAGCGAGTAATAAGTTAAAATATAAAAGAAAGCAGCACAATAATTTAGCACTTTTTATGATACATACGTAGAATCAAATTTCATAAAAATTATTTTATTTATTGTACTTTATGTAAGTTATTAACTTCAGTCAGAGCTTAGATCTTTGCATCTAGAGAATGATCTAGATTTTCAACTAATTCTAGTTTCAGTTAAAATATTGAGGTTACCACATCAGAGAAAGAAGCAGAAGAGAGGGGGAGAAGGGGTCCCGGAGGAGGAAAGGTCTAATGGCTACACATAAATAGTTAAAAATTAAGAAAAGAAAATTAAACAGCTGCAGATTTTTGTAAAACAGTAAAAAGGATGTGTTGCTAATAGAGTGAGATTTACAATTTACTTTCAAATGTTGGAGTACCTAAGTTCTGAGTATTTAAATTCTATGGATGAACTTTCATCTAAAAAGTAGCTTCCAAATTTTCAGAATATTGTTTGTTATAAGTGCATTCTCAGAAAGTTAAGGAGGAATTCATCCATTAGTAAGCAGAGATCCAGTATGTTAGGACTAAAGTAAAATACTGTTCAGTCCCAAACCAGCACCCGGTAGATTCTTATCAGTCATGCCTATATCCGACAATGAACAGTCACATAATATGTGAACACGAACATGTACTGTCAATGAATATGCATATAAAAAAAAATGAAACACAGAAAGTCAAGTTAAAAATACATATTCCGTTTACAATGATTAATTCCTCACTTATCTTGGGGAATGTATTGATGCAAAGGGCAATGCGAGACCAGCTCGAAATTTTTGGGGAACTTCACTTTTGTCAAAAAACACTGAAATTCAGCTCCATAGGATCAGCTATCATATTCAATGATCTCTTGTTCATTTTAATTCAAGCATAAGAAAATCAAACAATAGTAAAAAACTGGTCTAAAAACGAAGTTATATGATTTGAGAATTGATGTATGATACTAAAAAGGTAAACAAAATATAAGATACTGGGAGTTGAGACACCTGAACTTCTGACAAGATTGACAAAAATTTAGAGATATTTGAGTGAGAACTTTGAAATGGAAGAAAAGACTACTAGGCTATGTTTGAACTAAATCACAGGAACACCTAGTTAGACATCAGAATTCCACATAAAACGCAGTAGACTCAAAGCAAATTGCTGATATAAATCTTTTTCAGATTCATATTTTGGCAATCCTCATGTCATACTTGATGGTACCTCCAGCGAGTAGATACTGTGAAACTATATGAAGGATGAGCCCAGCAAATGAGACTTAACTTAAGATTTGTTATTGATAGTCAATTTACTTACACCAATTCTAGTTTTTCAAATAGATGGGAATTTTGAGTTGACTGATTTGACCATGAACTGAAAAAGTGAATTTCTCACTTCTGAGTAAACTTGGGGAAATTTTCTATATGTTCTTGAAGTCCTAGGTGGAATTCTGATGGGGAAAAATGTCTTGAGTGTTAGACTTCTTATCTTGTCAAATAGTCAATTCATAAGGCTTATTAAGAGAACCTGAGAGCTTTTAAAAACTGAAATTCAAGGTGGATCTAGTAAGGTGGGAGTATTATCATTAACTTGATTATGTAAATAATAGTGACAGGAAAGAGGAAAGAGTATAAAACAGGGTACTCTTTACAAAAATTCTCTAAGTCTAGTTTATCATGCCTAATGATATTAAAAAGGTAGAAAAGCTTACACATCGTTAGATCTACTTTGAATGAGACCTATTATTAAAACCATCTTCTGATAGTAAAAACAAGTGTTACAGGGTACGATAAAAAAATTGGTCAACATGAAAGATAAGTCTAAATAATTTGTCAAGCCTAATATGCCCGAGTATGTACTACACATTAGGATTTTATGACTTGAATTTTCGGTCTTGTTAATTTCGTCGTTTCTCTCATGAAAGAACGTAACTTCCTTTCAAGTTTTTGAATTTTCCCTTGTAAATTGCATTTTTACCAGGAGGATCTTTTCAGGAGGATCAATTGAATTGTACGAGACAGAAATAAAAAAAGGGATTGCGTGACTAGCAATACTTGCATAACTAATAAAAAAATGGCAAGTTGTATTCTATAGATTTTTTACTCATTATTAAATATATTAAAATAAATTAGAAAATGAAAATTATGGAATTACTTTAAGAAAGAAAGTGCGCCTGGGGATAAGAATATCTCCCTAAAAAAAGGTGTCAATGTTGTGTATTGAACTATGTTAAGTTGAAAGATTCTTATCATTCTTTTAGTGCAGAGAGAAAATTGCTTAAATTATTACTTGATATTAGACACTATTCAACATTAAAGTCTGGTATCTTCAAAATCTAACTTAAGTTCAAGGTCGCGTCCAGATGAACTTGCATGACACAGAAAGATTCATCTGTATCATTCAAGATCTTATCAGGACGCTCGGAACTCAATCAGCTAAAACAAACTTATTTAAAAGTTCCTAGGAAGGCTGATTGCTTATCACTTCTGATAGAAAATTTCCATTTATTAAGGGTAAAAATTATTCACAGTGATAAAATTGACAGGGTGATGATATTGTCAGAACCAAAAAAAATGCAGGTAGTCGTTGGAGTTAGGACTGCGTCTTAGCAGACCAATAAAGCTAAGATAAATGGAGACAGCGTCTTTGTTAGGAGCTGGGATTCATTCTGTATTATCCTACTTCACAAAAAATGTTCATCAAATACTCAGGTTCTGTTGTACCTCCTTCGCTTCTTCCGCATTTCAGTCCTGACTGTCACAGTTACTCCAAAGGCTTTAGGTTCTGACAATACATGACACAAATTATAAGAGCTAATACAAAGACATTTGATTTAATGTATTGGTACAATCAGTCTGACTTTTTTTTTTTTTTTTTTTTTTTTTTTTTTTTTTTTTTTTTGAGTGTGTGTGTCGCAATAGGTGGTTTTAAAATTTCCAAGGAAATATCCAAGGTTTTCCGATACATATGCTTTTCAATTGCAAAAGCACCATACAATAAGTCAGCAAATTAATGGCTAAATTCTAAATACAGAGCGACAAATCTACTTCAGTCGATTTTAGATGGCAAAACAGGGTTAGGGTGGATGATCTTGATTAAAAACAGAAGAAATTACTCCTGAAAAATTGGCCTCAAAGTACTACGGTTCCTTTCACCATGAAGTAACAAATAAAGAAGACAATTATCTGTTAAATCTCCTTAAAATTGAGATCTTCAAGATACCCATCTTGAGAGGTTAGCTTTGAAAATGTTGTTTAAGTTAGGGTAATCCTCCTTGAACGCATGCGGACGCTACAAAGTGACTCAATGGTTTCATAATTATTGAACCGCAAATTCAAAATTGGCGATAATTTTCTGTTTTTTTCTGTTCCTTTCACATTCTACCCCTCTTTTTTTCCTTGTGGAGTTAAACTCTACACAAAAGTGAGAAAAAGTTTCATTTTTTTCAGCACATTTTGATTAGCTGGACTGTTTATTCGTTGATCAGAAACTAGCTACAATAAAATTAAAATTATTTTATTTGCAGTCCATTTTCACTTAGTTAAATGATATGGATTAAGAAAAATTATTTCACTAATAGAAGGTTAAAAAAAATCTTTTCAAACATTCAGTCCTTAGGTTCAATATCAGTATCAAGTCTTTGATCAATTAACCCTAACAAAAATTTGAAATCTGTATTATTAAATTGTCACTCAATCAGTAAAACTCTCTCGCTTAGAGTTTCTTGCTTATGAATTTGGGGTTCAACAGAATCTTCAGATGTTGAACTGAAACCAATACTGAAAAAATAAAATTGATACAGAGTTTTTGATTTTTTCATGATAAAAAAAATAAGAGAAAAAGTGGCTAAGACGTATTGTTATGAAAAACGCAAGTATACTAATTTCAATATAATCTGGATAGAGAAGGTGACAACATATTTCTCTACTATTATAATAAATTAAACATTAACTATACATAGCAACCTAAGAACTTCATCTTTATAAGTATCTAATTACATGAAACTTCAGTTGAATTGGGCACGATAGTGAAAGAAGTAGCTATTTGCACCCGCCTTTTGAGAGGGAACTATAGAGTAGAAAATTTTCAACACTGAGTTCCCTTAATTTGCGGCAAAAATAGAAACCTATTTTAATGACTATTTTCTACTCTCTTCTCTGGCTGACAAACCTTTCTGAGGCACAAGCATGTGCAATAACAAAGTAAAACAATTTGATTGTGAAGAGTAAGCATTAACTTCAAGTTAAATACAAACCAGTACTAATAAGGAATTGTATGAAGATGAAATGATCAGATTTACAACTATACAAACATAAATAGGAAGAATTATTTTCAAAATTACATTTGAAGACTTTACAATAAAAGGGACAGAAATTCAATTTTGAAAAAATTATAAGGGGTAAATCAGAATAAAACCGTATCACGACTTCATTTATAACACTAAATTTAAATGAGTACGCTTGTGAATAAAAAATATAAAAAACAAATAGAATATTAAATAAAAATTTGTCAATGCGAAACAAAAAAAGAAGAAATAAAATAAATCAGTACAAAAACAGAAATAAACTGAAACAGATTAAAAGAAGAAGAAAAAACTTGAATTTTTAAATTACAAATCACATACACGAATAGTATATACATGTAGCGTACGATGATAAAGTACGTTTATTTATATTAAACATGTTGGAAAACATAATACTGTACAACGAAAGGATCTGAGAGGAAAATTTGTTGGAGATCATGAGAGGCAGTAACGGGCACTCGATCAAAAGCGAAGAGTCAATGCATCAAACGACTCTGCATCAAAAGTATCTGAAAAATGAGAACAATAAACATTGAAAAAACAAAAAACCACTTCCTGGTTGGTTATAATAGCAGAGAATAGAGATCCTTCACTGGTACTGGTACATATCTTGGCAAGGGTGAAAGCTTTTACTTTCGGGATTTTAACATTCAACTGTTGACCTACCTACTAGGTCGATGGTCAACGAATTGAGAATTAAGTTTTGCAAACTTGTTTGGCTCATGCTGTCACCCAAAGCTCATCATCCACTTGGTAGGTAAGATGACTGTTACTCCCTCATAATTGTCCATTTAGAAGTGATAAATCCCCAAAAGTAAAAGCTTCCACCTGTCGCCAAGAGGCCAGAGGAAGGTCTCGTCTCTGGTTACTAGTTACAGGACCTCTAATTTTACCTTTGAAACTATACAGCTTTGAAAACAAAAATAAGGGCGCAAAAAACCCAAAAAGAGCACACTATGATATGCTAGAATGCCTAATAGGTAGAGAAAACTGCCACCTTCCGCCCGAAGTATCACAAGTGCCATTTACGTACAGATGCTATGTTGCCAACATCTCAATATTTTTTGAATCTTTTCTTTGAAACTCTTGCACATATACTTTTGCGAAAATTTCAGGACTTCGTCATGATGACTACAGAAATAATCGGCAAACTTTTCAAGGGATCCTGCTCATTAGTATTTCCGTAATAAATTGAACAAGTTTGAGAAGTTTGGGAAAATAGTGTTTAGACACAAATGGTGCTTGTAATTCTCTGGCCAGAAGATCACAATATCATCTCCGGACAATTCACAGTTGCAAGCCTTGCAGGTCAAAATGTTAAGTCATATCTTATGCGACTTCAAGAACTCACAAAACAATACATTAAGGAACACATGGAATATTGATTGTGAGAGCGGGACATCAAATACGCATAACATCAAAACATGAGCAGAGGAACATTTCATTCCTCCTGGATTAAATAAGAACGAATGGTCCTATCTAAACCACCTATTTACCCATAAAAAAATTTGACGACTGCAAATGGGCAAGATGATGGAAATGCTTGGAAAGCAAGAATAAGAATTTTCTGTAACACCTTAAAACAGATAAATGTAAGAAAAATAAACTTTTGAGCGATCGAGTTCGATGGTGAAACTTCAAATCAAGTATCTCAGTTTGCAACGTTGCAAACTTAGAGTCCTGTCACATTTCATTTTGTAAATGGGTAACTAGTTATTGTCAATTCTTAGAAACTTCCATGCTTTTTCTTCTCTGTGCAAAGAAAACTCTGTAAAGACTTCGAGGAATACTGTTGATTTGTTCTCAGTCAAGAAAATAAAATGGGAGTGCAGATTTTAAAACAACGCAAAAAAGACACAAGGTTAGGGAGTTTCACTATCGAAGTAGAAATTCAGATAATCAGCGTAGTTATGCCTCTCAATCTTTGTCAGGTATAGCAAGAATGAGCATACTGGGCTTGTCCAACACCAACGTACACAAATTATTAAACAGATATTCACTGTCCAACAAAAATCATCTAGTAAAAGAGTAAATAACCAGTACTATGTGCACCTTTGTACTTGAATAAATACCTCTTTACTTTCCAATTATCTACTTTCATTATAGATAATTTTCTTTATTCGTTTATTTAGTCATTACCAATTTTCCTTTTAAGTTGGTATAACTTTTCATTTGACATCCATGTTCTAAGACACATTTTGTTTGCCGTACCAATCGTTAGCAATGTGAGATAGAGCACAACATTCTTGTTTTGCTTGAATGTTACTGAGTATTTATGGACCTATTTTATTTCAACGATTATAAACCAATCTGGTAACGCTATTATAGCATCAGATGCATGACATCCAGACCGATCTTTAAAGATGGATCCGACCAAGTCCCAAAACAGGTCTCAGAAGGAAAATAAAGGGAGAAAGTGAGTTCGTTACATTATTTTCATTATAAATATTAGACAACAGTCTTTTTCTGTTTATAAGAGTTCTGTATACTAATAAATTTAATCCAGAACGAGATGATAGGAAATTTCAAGATTATTAACGAAACTGAGAGGCGCTTTTGAATTCCGACCTCATTTTCCTCTACTGCTCTCTCATTGGTCATAATAAAAAAGAAACGAAATCATTATTATTCTGGTAACCAGTAGCAATTACTGTTAAACTTACATAAAATTGTCTGCCTTCTGCTTTCAAGTTTTGAGCTTATATTTGAATACAGTGTACTGAAGTGTCAGGAGTTGTCAAGGACTCATTACAGCTGAAAATGATTTCTGAGTTCATTGAAATGACATTGACTAATTATAACAATTTGAACTGATCAAAGAAATTTTCATTTGATTCATTGCTATAAAAGAAAGAGCCGATTGTGAGAATTAAAATTTTAAGAATCACACAACCTATAAAGGTTCACAGAAATCATACATTTTTATGACAAGAAGATTAGTACAGATGTCATCTTCCAGCTCTGGAAGGAATTTTGCATCTGATACCTTGAAAATTTTAGGTGGAAGTATAATAGAAGAATAAAAAAACAAAACAAAAAAACAGGAATTTCAGTAATATTAAATTAACAGCAAATTAAGTGGCTAAAGAGAAAATAAGGAACAGAAAAAAACAAAATACAGAAGAAAAACGGCAGAACTTACATTTTTTTAACGAGAGTTATTCCTAAATTTCTTCTTTGACTCGGGATGCTCCGTTTTCACCTGATTTGGATTCTGAAAAAGGAGGAAACTCACATTAGAAACCCGACTATAATAATTTTAAATTATTATTGTTTACTCATGAAGGATTTAAGTCAGATTGTAGTGGTCAGAATAGAAAAGGACCCACAAATATTATCAATGAGAAGCGGAAATTTTGAAACACCGCAATGGAGATACGCGGTTCTGCACTTAAGCCATCGATATATTTGGACAGATTGGACTAGAGTCAGCATGACTTAATCAAACATTGCTCAAATTTCTCTGATGTTTTAGTTTCTAACGAGAAAACTAGGCAACATTTAGATTCGAAATTTTGTGAATAAATTATTTGTAATGTAAGGGAAGCTCTTGGAAAGTTTCAATGCATTATGTTGTTATGTCTTTTTGTAGGGAAATAGAACATGTGTGGATACTAGGCAATGGAAAAAAAAGTCTGATTTCGGTCAAAAACCTCCATTTCTAAAATTACTTTGAACTGCTCTTTATGAATTCAATTCGTTGAAAAGCTATGTTGATGTTAACATTTTTAGATTCATTTAAGAAAATGAGGAGAGAATTTTTTGGATGCAAAATGAAGATTATGGAATCATTTTTATGTAACCAGTTAAAAGCCTGACAAAATATTCAACAGAGGACCTAGAACTGTGCAAATTTTGCCGCACATATGACAGTTTATCAGTTTCAAGTAAGGTTATCAAGATCACACAAAGGTCTCATTTATCGACTTAATATATCATTGATTCCTGAACAAATGAACCCGACTACATCTAAGTGCTGTAAAATTTCCATCCGCTGATTGCATTTTTACTGGGAAATATTCCGGAGTTGCTGACTGAAAATTCAATTGGTTTATCTTCCAAATACAAACAAAAATCAAACTACACTGTCGTATTTATGTTAAAAATGGATCATTTTTTTTTTTTTTTTTTTTTTACTATTCAAATAGCCCTCAAGGGCTAATCCAACGCTTTAAGTCCTATCCCCCCTCCGTCCCTACTGAACCAGTCCCAGGCAACCATTGTTTGAGACCATCAAACTCGGGTCGCCTGGCCGGGAATCGAACCCGGGACCTCCCGATCATAGAGCAAGCGCTACAACCACTACACCATAGGAGGCCGACAATTTATGTCAATGTTGCAAGCTTCAAAATCAATTATATTCCTTCATCTGGGAAACAAATATATACATTTCTGTCTGTTTGCAGTTAAAAAAAAAAAAAAATATATATGCATGAAGGGGCCGAGAGAGAAGTCTATTAGAGAGGGGTGGCAGTGATGATAAAAATAGATTTGCTGCCTTATGGTTTTGAAATGATGAACATTATCTAGTTGACAAAACATGCTGTTACGTAAAACTGAGGTGATGAGTAGCTTCCTGGGTTAATGTAGTAAGTGAATATAATTTTTTAAAAAAAATATCTAGCAAGAATTTTAAGCAGTAGCATAAATGATAAAATGAGTTAGCGATTAGTTCCATCCTGTTCAGCTTCAGCATGCAATGCAAAGTGTGAAATTTTTGAGGCGCACTTGCAGGCAAGAGCAATTTCTTGAATTTTTCCTTGAAGATTTTCCTTGAAATAAAGTTGGTTTTAGGTTGACGGATGCCTATGATATGATAGGTGTTGATTCACTGCCAGAAATTAATTGGAAAAAAAAACAACGTAAATTGCTGAAACCTAAAAATTGATTTTGGCTTTTTGAAAAGTTTTAATTTTACCCGCAGCTTTCCAGAAATTTCCTGATTATAATGAGCATGTAAAAATGATCCTAAAATTAACTTTCAGAATAGCTCAACTTCAGAAAATTACATAATTATTTTAAGATAAAGGATTGACCACAATTCGATTGTAAATTGAAGGTTAAGAATAAATTCAATTTTTAAATTGTGTCGATATTGAAGGTTATAGAAAGGAGTTGAAAAACAATTTTTTCTCGAGGAGCGATTCTATCATAGAAAAAAATCAGTGAACTTCGGCATACAGTTTTTGCATTGGTGATATTCAAAGATTATTTAAGAGACTATCAAAACAAAAACTTTTTTAGGTTTCAACATTAATTCCATTTTAGACTTTCAAACAGACGGAGAATATAAAAAAGGTATGTACAATAGAGGTCACTGAATACAACATAATTAGAGTAATATCAAGTGTGATAAGCAAGATAAGGGCTCAAAGGTAAAAAACAAAATCCAGTGCATTCCATCAATTATAAAATCTCTCTTTGAAACATAACTTCCAAATCTTAGAATTTGGACGTGATGTTAAGATCATAACTTAGAATTAATTAGCATTGGTTCGTTGGTGCAAGGTTAACCTGTCAGTTGGAACAGTTTGCATATGCTTTCTCACACTAGAATTACTCAATAGAAGAGGATGGGGAGGGGGGGGAGCAGAAAACAGTGCATTGTGCCAAGATGACGACGAATTGATGGTATTATTCGTAAAGTAAATCCTACTTCAGCTAAATTAAATGGATCTAATGGCAAGTTACCGATTAAAACAATGTAATAGTGTTTTGTTGTCGATTAAACAAGTGCATTACCTAACGGTTCAGACTTTTTTAATTGAAAAGTGCAGACGCTATCTCAAGAGAAATATTTTTCTATAAAAAGACAAACCAAAAAATCTACACAGTTTGGCTAGTTTATGTGGAATTGAGAATGAACAAAAAACTTAGAGTGACTAAAACTGCAAAAAGAAAAAAAATATCCTCATGTGCAACAGCTAATATATTAAAGAAGAACAACAACTGATGCAACATGCAATTAGACAAGGGGCAAGAAAAAACTAAACCATGTTTCACAGTCATTCACAGGGTTGAAATTTAGAGGGATCTTCGCTTGACAAGGAACTGGGCGATTGTAATTCAACATAGAGAACTTTTCACCGTTCATTTGATATCAGAAAGATAGTCATTGCCGAGAAAAAAAATTAAAAAGTCTCATTATTTTTCTCCTTTTATAGGATAGGGGATGAACTGCTTTGACATGTTTCAATTTTTCACGGTTGGGACAAAGGAGATCGTAAATAGAAAAACAGAAAAAAAAGCGTTAAAGTTTCTGGTGTTCTACATTGCAGAGCCATGTTTTTAATTGCAAAAAAAGTTTAGCAAGATTTTAAATTTTTAATAGACACAAAAACAGGCTTAGTTCTCTCCAATTGGAAGCTATCTAACTGAACACTTGCCGAAGAACGATTTTGTCTTGTCAAAGTAGAAACTGACGGGAAAGACATGAAAACACACAAAAAAAAAAACAAAGTTACATGATAAAAATACTCGATTTATAAAAAAAAGGAGCAAAATAAAAATTGAAAAGGCAATTGAGAGGCCCCAGGCTGCAGGTCACAGCCACCAGACTGAAAAAATCACCTAAGTTACAATACGAGATGTCTCTATCATTGCAAGGGCTAACATTTTATATGTTATTTGAGCAACAGGGTGCAGATCAGATTGATGCTTTTTTTTATCATTTTTATTTCTTGATGGTCCGAGTCAAAAATGGGAAAGTCTGAATTGAAAAGGGTAGAATTGATAGAAAGAAAACAACCATCTCTTGAATGAATGCTTGGTGCTGTGAGAGGAAAACTTAATGCCTTTTTGAGGTGCAATATTCTATTAGAGAAATACTTGCATAGCTTTGTATGTTCTTCTAATTTCCTCAGCGCAGACTGTTACTTATCTACGAGAACAAACACTGAGAACCACAATCTTCTTTCAGCACAACGCATGCTAACGCATTTTTACGTAAATGTTTGTTTCTATACCCCCATTTTTTTCAAAAGAAAAGACAAAAACAAAGTACTGCAACTTATAGTTTAAATTATTTTTTTCATTTAAAAAAAAGAATAGACAAACAACAGCACTTTGCCTACGATCTCCGATATAATTTTGCTTGTTTCATTTTTTTGGGCTTTTTAAAAACATTTTTGATGAACAAAGTCCATTCACAGTTTCCCTTTAAAGTTTTGTGGAAACTTCACACATAACAGCAGAAGGGGAGGAGGGACGCACTAAATGCATTTCTTTCTTTTCTACACTGTCATGCATACTGGTAAATTTTTCCTGAACTTGCTATCAGCAATAACTACCTCACCGAACAAATCTCTTCAAAACAAAATAGAACTTGTACCCAAAATTGAACTGAACTAGTACCCATAATTGAACCGAACTCAGACCTATTTTAATTTCCCCTGATAAAAGAAAACGTAAAATATGATGAAAAAAGGTTTATGTTTCCAAGGCAAATTTTTTCCTTCAAAACAAAATGCTTAAATGAAAAGAAGGAGAAAATAGATATTGGAAAGCGCTTTGGGTAACCTTGTAATTTCATTTCTTTAGTAAAGTAGTCGAAAAAAGTGTCTTTTGTATTCTCAACTTTTTCTCTTTTCAAAGATAATTAATAACTCCAGTACAAGTCAATATGAACAAATATCGAGCTCACAAGAAACTTGGGTCTTTGCAACTAAAAATAGCTTATGCTGGGATCGTCATCGAACTATCGTTCAATGGGTCTATAGCTTCATCATTCCTTGAAAATTCCTGGAAGTAAACCGAATATGACTACATAACCAATCATTGAAAGAAATAATGAGTGATAACGCAGAGCATAATTGGTGAAAATGTATGATCAGGACTCAATTGTGTAAATTCATATTAAAAATGTAGCTTTTAAGCTCAGCAACCTCATAGTTGCAATCACATATGTATACGCTTCTACCCACCCTACACAGGGCACAGAAGCAATATTCTTGAAATAATTACTTTTTATGGAAAAAGTAATTTTTTTTATTAACATTTCTTCAAGATTGCCAGAAAATCATTGCTAAGCTGTACAAATAAAATAGGGACTGCAAAAATATTTGTTCAATACTTGCTATGAATATAGCAAGGCAATACTGACAAAAAAGTCAAAAAAGTAATTACAAATGTGAAATGTAATGCTTGAAAAAAGAATAGCACCAACAGTAATTTTTCAAATTTAGAGCTACAATTTTGGTACAACATCAACCAGTAATATTGCTTTCTGTCTCATGAGTAATGTTGTTTTAACATTGATCAAATATTTCGTTCCAATGATGCAGGGTCATTGGAGATATTGAGGCAATGTTGAAACAATATTATTTCACTGGGTGGGTAGTCATTGATCTAACCTGACATTTTAGAAAATTAGTGAGCGAGTATTGGAAGTCGTTGAGAGGTATCTCCTCCAATGATGTAATTTTCAATGCGCAGGAACTTGGTCGAAAACAAATAAAGGAAAGCTCTGGCCTTGAAGAAAATTTGAATGATCCGATTTTGATGAAAAAAGGAGTTACAAAGCTAGAGTGATGATATGAGAGAATGGGTGATTTTTTTCATGTCTGGTGCCGATGCTGCGGGTCGACTCCTAGGGTGAAGGGACTCACCATACTCAAGGTCACCTGAGTCAGAGCTACTGGATGAAAAGCTGGAACTACTTGAGTCCGAGTCCGAAGAGCTAGAACTAGAGGCTGATATTCTTGGGTTTCCTGCTCCGTTAGTTTTTGAATCTATAACAATTAACTTGAGGTAAGTTCAGTCGCCAGAGAACAGCAAACCTAACTCTCGCCTTTTGCATATCTTAGACCAATCTTGTAGAAAATTTGATGATAATCTCTCCCCGTAGTCTGGCTGTTGTGTGAATTTCTTCTCTTTCAGAAATTTATTTTTGTCTAAAGAGGAGTACAGAAATGATATGATACAGGAAAAAATGAGGATGTGTAAATGGGCTATTGGTGATAGTGGCCATTACTTTCTATAGTGAGTGTAAAATTGTGTGGTTCCTTGAATATTTTTCAATTTTAAGTAATTCTTTCATAGTCTTAAACTTTCATTGAATGCAATCTACATTTTGCTTTCACCATTACTGACACATGATGCTGAGATAATATAGTAATTAATCATTTAGTTATGAAAATGGTAAATCTGAAGATCAGGCACAATTTTCTGTTGACAATTTGAATTTGAGTGATCCTTAACAAAAATGAACTGAGAATGTGATGGAAAATAAACTAAAATTTCAAACTATGCAAAAACATGAACGTGAGAAATACAAACCGGAAAATCAAATGCATTCTACAGAGCAATGAAACGAGCATACATTCCATGGAGAAACTTAAAGTAGGTCTATTTCACAACTAAGCTACCCCGGACGACACACAAAGGAGACTTTATTTTGTTCAAAAGAAATTCAGATCTAGGAACGATTACAAATGACAGAAACTAAATTTCCATGCAATTAACAATTTTACTTCTTCAAATCATAAAATCAGAGAAGGATAGGAATAAAAAGCTTCCAAAAAAAATAAAATAAATAAAGAACAGACAAAAAAGGGGGAAAAAACAAAAAAACGAACGAACAAAGCCAAACAAAAACGAATTGAAAAGGAAACATTGCCATTGCTTTAAACTTATTTACAGAAATCAAAAAAGAAGACAGCACATTTTGGATCAAAAGTTTCACTCTCACTTTCATAAATGATAATTCAAGATATTGTTTTTTTGGTTTTGGATCTTATTCTAATACAAAATTAAGGATTTAGAGCCTTCCTTTACTCAGGTCTCATTAGCACACAATGTGTAAATGACTCACTTAGATGAGAAGAGGGATTAGGGCTTCATCATGTGGAAAGAGAGGGGGTAGGGGTGTCAGTCAAGCATCTTAACCCTTTCAAACATCGAGACATATAACCTTTTAATCCAACAGTGGGTACAAGTATAATATAGCAATTTAATTCCATGCATTTACTATCAAATTTACCTACAAAGTCTTGTCACTTTTCATGGACATCTCTTTTCGAAAAATAGAGAGAAATGTGTTGTACATGAACTACACCTAAGTAATGTCCCTTCTTACAGGTAAATATTAGCAAGTAAAAAAGACCCTCATTGTATCAAATCATGGTTGACACCCAAATGATAGAAGATTCTAAATTTAATATTTGAGGTAAACGCATCAGCTGACAACTGAATTATAATTGTAAAAGTTACAAAGAGTGTAAAAACAAGATAGAAAGTAGAAAGTACGAAGGATACAAAGTAGTCTAATATTTATGACAAAGAAAATCAAAGTTTGCTGGATAGCAAGGCAAAAAGAGTACATAAAAATACAAAAACTCCCAAAAATGTAAGCTAAAATTGTCATAATTAGTATGTAGATGGTGGGAGAAATTTAAGAAAAAGCACTGAAGCCAAGAGCAGCAACCAAAAGTAAACAAAGGAAAGAATGTAAGTGGACGAATCCACAGAATGAGGAACTATTAATTACAGAGGACTAAATTTTAGAAGTTTAGTGGTGAAAATGTGAGGTGAATACATATATAGAGGTTCAAGATTGGAAATCTGAATGGCCCGATTGATATATTTTGTGTTTCAGTTTTTCTTCTCAAGTTTATTGCGCTGAGACTAGAGCATAACAGCAAATTTTAAAACTAGTGCAGGATAAAAATGAATAATGAGAATATTTTTTTTAAAATTTCAAGAGGCAATGGCACCATAATTGACAAAAATGTCCATGTAGCCTTTGCATTTAGCTTAAAAGATGAGAAATCTAGTAATTTGACATTAAGTTGTACGCGATGTATATTCGTATAATTCAGACTAAAAAGGTTGGTGATTAATGAAGCGAGTTATATGCTTGATGATTTGAGACAAGGGATCGTTTGCTATGATCATCAAATTTTACATTGATGTTTGAGATTCATGGACGAGTGTCAAATGATCACAGCTGTCCTTATGCAAATTTTCTGTATCAATTTTAAAGAGGAATGACTCTCCAAAAAAACAAATGATAACGGTGATGTTATCTACTGCAAAAAACTGTACCATAACAGCTACTGGTGTAGATAAGTGCTTCATTGATGACTGACGTCATACACCATGGTTTGCAACAATTGATATCTTTGTTTAAAAATACATCAAATGGATTTTATTAGCACTTTTGGTGATATACGAGTTTTAGCCATCAAAACACAGTTATGTGATGAATGGAACTTCATCATTTAGAGTGACAGCAGGAAGTTTAAAAATGAACTTGACTAGCGTCAGTACTTCTTGGTATATTTTTTTTTCATTATATTTCTTGTCATTGATGAGTGACGGCTTTTGGCAGTGGGAATCAAAAGGTTTTTTTTTTAACTGGATGAGAAATTCAATTTTGGGCAAAGCATGAAAATTAGGATGCAGCTAGCAGGTTGGCAGATGTAAATGACACAGCTTTTCACGACATTGATGGGTACACTTTAGATATTGTTCTAATTTTTCATGGAGCAAAAAAGGACATATTTAGGCACAAAATTTTCCTATTTTACTCATTAAGAAAGGAAAAGTCTTCTACGTGGCAAGGAAAACTGCACCGGAAGCATAGGTAATAATATTTGAATTGATGAACGTTAAATTATAAATTGAAAATTGAAAACAGAATTGAATTTCATGTTTTTCTTTAACACAAAAATTAGTGTGAGTTAATAAATTCATGTGAAGAGCAAATCAGCAATCAGCGCAGATGAACGTACACTGCATCCAACTTGATATACTGATGAATTTTCACAGATATCGTGACCAAACCTTTCAAGTTAAGGTTATGCTCATCAACAAACAACAACGTTGTGTTAGACATTAAAGTTTCAATATCACAGTGCAATGAGAAGACTTAAAATTCTCCACACAAGAGGTCCTGAACCCATGGTTTTGCCCTGTTTTTTCAGATTGTGGAAATTGGAAAATCTCTAAGCGCCAGTTTGTCATAAACGAGACATTATTTGTGTCTCACTCAATAGGCAAGGGCAAAACAGACACTTAGAGATTAATGTTATCGGTAAAAAGGTAAAAACAATTTGGTCCGAAGTCAACTTTTCATTTTTTACATAGGAAGATATCAATAACTTTAGTAGGATAGTAGAAACCTGCACTGTCAGACGTCTATCCTTTCATTATATTTTGTTGGGTTTCTTTACCATAGTACTCAGATCACAGTCAATAGTGTATAGTCGATAGATTGATATCACTAGCCCTTCAGCCCTGCTCAGATAAGTTTGGTTGGCACAAGCAGCCGAAAAAGTCTCAATTTCATTATTTCATGGTCATTGAAAATCAGGACAGAACTTTATGAACGGAAAATGAAGAAATTTCTTTGAATAATTTACTGTTAATGACCGAAAAATTAAGGCTAGGTAAAACAAAAAGAATAAAAGACAAGCAAACGAACTAGTGTGCAAGCAACTGGACTAGAAGGCATTGGTGAAAGCTAATTCAACTCTACTGACAGTGCGATAAGGTGTCAATGTACCTTTCTTGGCAGTTTTCTTTGGACCTGAGTCTTGTGGTTTCTTATCTAATTTCTCCAAAATTTCTTTTGATTTCCCAGATAATTTTTTATCTACAGTAAACACAAAAATTCAAAGGTTTCCGGTTATTCCATCGAAATTGAATTATTGAAACCCCTTACAAAATAACTTGTAAAGCTACCTTGCATATAGATTGAAACCTTAGCAGAAACAAAATGATGAAATTTCATTTTGCGTAAGCCTGTGCTTGGAGAACGTGTCGAGTTCATTTTCGGAATACCATTTTTTGGGAGTGATTTTCAGTTTCAAGCTTAAAAAAGCGACACGTGATTTTCAGTTTCAAGCTCAAAAAAGCGACACGTGATTTTCAGTTTCAAGCTTAAAAAAGCAACACTATATTCTTTTATTCATTGACTATGAGTTGGTTGTTATGCCTGTAACAAGGGAATTTTAAACACAAAGATGATTCTAATGGAGAGCCATTAATGATCAAGCATTAACAGGGAAAAAATTTAAAGTATGTGACTAACAATAAGTATTTGATAGTCACATAAATGATAGAGCTCAAAATGTATAATTTTTTATTTAAAGGAAATAAGTAAAAGATATATGCATCATAAGTTTTTAAAATTGTTCGGTCTTCAACTTCCGAAAATAAGAAAGGTTAATGTTAATGCGAAGACAGTTGGGAAATGCCAAGAATGGAAAACAGTTATCTTTCCTGTATGGGATTATTTTTAGAAGTGAGTTCATTTGTAATAAGCAACATCCTATGCCAAAGGATTATCAGACACTTAATTTTTTTCAGGACAATTCTTCCATACTTCAACATTTTCTGACTTGGCAGACAGAGTTCAGAAGAATCATTCCCATCACTATGCAATAAATTCATAACCTGATTTCCTCCGTTTTTTTTTCAAAAACTCATAAGAAAAAAAATGGAAACTTCAAACAATCGAGATATGCACAAACCCTCCACAGATACAGTCACAAGGGCTCAAATGAGCGGTAAACTCAGAAAAAAAAAATCGACATAAATCCATTAATAAACTAGATACATAATATATGTTAAAGTGCTTTTAAAGCATTTTGTAATAGTCAGTTCCATCTTTTCTGTTCACAACTAAATTAGAACTTTTCGCATCGGTGTATTGAATTCAGTAAGGCAGAAGGTTTGAAAATTCTGACCACATATTTAATCACAATATGGCGTTTCTGCATCACAGCAAAATTTCTGATTAGCTCCATGGAAAGTTATTTTTTTTAAAAATTATGAACAACCGGTGTCATCACTTGGGAACATTCGCCACAGATCCAAGTTTTATCTCGTCTTTGTTGTGCATAATTTACACATCGAGAATCAGCATCTCCTATACCCCTGAATCAATCCACTAAAAATTTCGAGGGAATATTGCAAAGTTACAGCTTGAAATTAAAGTAGGGACAAAAGTTTGCAACATTTTCTGTTAGCACAATTAAAATGTTTTCTCCTGGTAATTTTTCGGTTATTTTTGTTTCCATTGCAGAAACAACAAAATGGACAAAGATAAACGACAAAGACAAACTTTGAAGAAATATGATATGAGAAAAGATGAAAAATACCTAAAATAAGTTCAAGGTTGGTCTGTTTTAATTTAATACGGAGAAAAACCAGACAATCCCCATCATCACAATACATGGCACCAAATTACATGCAAGGACACTAATTGAAACAGATAGCTTCCATTGAAGGAAACTAAGAGCACAAGGGTACTTACAAAAAGACCTATTCGTATAGGAAAATTAACAGCAGATATTCTGCTTTAAAAATAAGCCAAAAAAGGCGACTCATTTTCAATAGTTACATCCAAATGATTTCCAAATATTTTAATTGCTCTAACATAAATCTGAGATAAACAAAATGCATTACCCTGGGTTATTATAAAATTTCAATTAAAGACAGTTCCCAAAAACATGTGAAAGGAGAAAAAAGAAGAAATGGACAGTTATAAATGAGTTCACCGTTGAGGCTGAATCAATTAGAGATTGTATTACTAAAACTTCAAGGTGGTAAATTCAAAGTATCTACTTAGAAAGTGAAAATATTTTAGAAATAAAATGTTTGCTGTCATTGGCAATGAGCAAAAATTTGAGGAGGATCCAAACAAAGATAATTGACGACTCATTCCATGCACAAAAGAACATAGGACCTAAAAATGTGACTGTCCACAAGAGAGGGGATCTTAATCCGCAGTGGTATTGTTTAGTAGAGCGATTTTTGTCAACTTCACAAAAGTTGGGCTGAAAAATCGGATTTTGATATTTCAATGGAAAACTCTCTCTAAAAGTTCTGACAAGTTTAGGGTTAGTTTGGTTTTTGTAATATTAGGAGGTATGAAGTTGCACTAAAATCCAGCAATTTTGCACCCTGAATGTCAAAGATTAAAAATTACATAGAATTTCCTTAAAATTACATTTTTTGAACTAGAAACTTCAAATCGCCATGATTCTGGTTCTAGATTTTACCTGTGGTTAGTGCTTTTATCCTAAAATGTTTTTAGAGCACTCTTCAATGCTTTGGAATCAATAGAGCAAGTCCAACTTATACGGACCAAGATTTCATCCCTAGTGGACTGCCACAAATGGAGAAAAGACACAAACTTTAAGTGATTGTAGAAAATTTTAAAGGACACTAGAGTAGATAATTTTCTTGACAGAAAAGAAAAAAACATTGAGATAGGAAAGTGTCATTTGAGTTGTAGTTCAAAACTAATCATACCCAGAAAAATTCAAAGGACATCTTATCTGGAAATATGAAAATAAACCCCTGTTGAATTATAATTTAGGAAGATCAGCATGTTTTAAAAGTTGTCTGCAAGTGAAATTCCTTTCCCAGAAAGCATGATTTTCACCAGACTAGCCACTTCAGCACATAAAACTTAGGTGTTCGATCACACTGAATATTGGCAGAGAAATCGCTGTATGGTAGTATTGCGCATTGTATAGACTAATGTACAGTTTCATTCTGGCATGTGATCAGTGTTTTCTCAAGCTTCATATCACATTTAAGCTAAGCAGATAGGANGGGGGGGGGGGGGGGGGGGGAACCCAAATCGTATCAAGAGGCAAAAAGAGGCGTACATGATTTTCATGAGTTCAAAAGAAAGAAAAAATGGTCTGAAATAAGTTAAAAACTCAAGCTAAAAATACAGAGAGGATTTTAAAGTATTTAATAGCGTAAAAACTAACATGGGTCAGTCATTGACATTTAGTGAGTTCTTAAAATATGGAGATCAGAGGAGATCTTGGAAATAGAAAGACTACAGGACGTATCTTGTGTCTTAATACTCATTGATGAGCGCAGAGTAATTGAACTGATAAAAATTAAGCTGGGGATGTTGCTTTGAAAGTGAATAAGTGCTTTGAAACTAAGAATGATTGAAGAACAGAGCTGAAGATTTTGAACTTTTTTTAGGAGTTAAATGAGAGATGAACGGGGAAAACCCAAGCTAAAAAATAGTCAAAGGGGTACGTGCAAAACGGGCCATTTCACGCTCGTGTCGGATACCATTGAAACTTGCCCTATTCATTCATCTAAGAATACCCCATGTTTTCCCAAAGTTTCAAGTTCCCAAAAAATTTTGGGGGTAAGTGGCGGGGGGTCAAAGTTGAAAATCCGCTAAATTTTCGCGAATTTTTTACTAGAAACTACTAAATATATCGAAACGCGGTTTAAAAGAGCGTTTTCAGCGTGAAAAGAGCTTTCAGTAAATGTATAATATCATAGGGTTTAGTCGACTTAAACTCGAGCTATCGCCTCCGAAGCGCCGGAACGCTAAAAAATGACCCGCTTTTCTGTCAAATTCGGGCCGATCCCCAAAATACTCAATTTTTAATTTCTTTGAAAAACCGATATGTTGTTCCTGACTCTCTATGGCACCTATATGTCTGTACCGTATCCTGGGGAAATGTTTTGTTTGCTAGTTATAAGCGCGGAAAGGAGCGAAAGTCGGGAAAATCGGCTATTTTGAACTGCGCGCGTCGCATGGGTTAGAAGGAGAACGCCCCCTCCTGCTCAGTTCGGCGAATCACACTCCTCTGCCGACCTCGCATTGTTGCCGCATGTCTCCTGATCCGTCGCCGCGCGCAGTTCAAAATAGCCGATTTTCCTGACTTTCGCTCCTTTCCGCGCTTAGAACTCGCAAACAAAACATTTCCCCAGGATACGGTACAGACATATAGGTGCCATAGAGAGTCAGGAACAACATATCGGTTTTTCAAAGAAATTAAAAATTGAGTATTTTGGGGATTGGCCCGAACTTGACAAAAAAGCGGGTCATTTTTTAGCATTCCGGCGCTTCGGAGGCGATAGCTCGAGTTTAAGTCGACTAAACCCTATGATATTATACATTTTCTGAAAGCTCTTTTCACGCTGAAAACGCTCGTTTAAACCGCGTTTCGAAATATTTAGTAGTTTTCTAGTAAAAAATTCGCGAAAATTTAGCGGAATTTCAAATTTGACCCCCCGCCATTTCCCCCCAAAATATTTTGGGGACTTGAAACTTTGGGTACACATGGGGCATTCTTAGATGAATGAATAGGGCAAGTTTCAATGGTATCCGACACAAGCGTGAAATGGCCCGTTTTGCACGTACCCCTTTAGGGATTCTTCGAGGCATAGGAGTTTCCAACAATTAGACGAAAATTGATAAATACTCCAGAGAAAAAATGAAAAAACCAAAAGCACAATCCAAATCTCAAGAGAAATCAATTTTGACTTACGTGGTTTTTTCCTTAAACAAAAGGCTACAGCATTTTCTAGGGCGCGCAATGTGGACGGTTTCAGGGTTTCAAAGTCTATTTCTATCTCGTCTGGATTTGAATCCCGTAGAGAGGGCTCTCTGGACTGGATTATTTGCACTACTCGACCAAGTTTATCACCTGAAAAATTTCGTGAAACAGATATGAAATATAATAAGATCCCAGCATTTTTCTTTCGGGGACTCATAAAATTAGGAACTTAAATTAAGAGTGAATATTTGCAGAAAAAACTAATTATTTTTAAAATTTAAATTTGTACTTGGTTATTTTTTAATACTTTAATGAGTTTTTCTTATTTGTGTCCTCTGAATTGTTCTTCTCAAACAAAAATAGGGGATGAAGAGCGCTCTTGCACTGTAGCTAGCAGTACACCAATAACAGCAACTTACTGCTGTTTTTGGTGTGAACAGGTGTTCAGGTAGAGTCCATTCAGCTTAATGGGCCTGTTGCAAACTTTTGCTAGAGCAAAACTAAGAGTTGTTTCCTGTAGATAATGCCTCAAAACTCACAATGAGCGCATCGGCAAAGTCTGAAATGCACTCATAACTTCACAATCTGCGTAAGATATTTGCGGTTTTTTGAGCTTCCCGCTTCGAAAACGATACTACGGTACAGGTGAACATTTTGTTAGAAGAGTCGTTCCATTGGCGACAATACTCATTATGGCCGACGCCAGTCCGCCAAAACACGTGTGATGGGACGAGATAACACCTGAACAGGATTAAACCATATAACAATCGGCGTGTTTACGTTCATATTTTCCTCGCCCGCCTTAATTGACCTTGAACTCTCCTTGAATTACGCGAGGAACTACACAAACGTCGGCCATGATGAATATTGCCGACGATGGAGCGACTCCTCTAACAAAATGTTCACCTGTGCAGTAGTATCGTTTTTGAAGCGGGAAGCTCAAAATAACGCAAATTTCTTGCGCAGATTGTGAATTTATGAGTGCATTTCAGACTTTGCCGATGCGCTCATCGTGATTTTTGAGGCATTATCTATAGGAAACAACGCTTCATTCTGCTCTAGCAAAAGTTTGCAACAGGCCCATTTGCTGTAAAAAGAGCAAATCTAGCAGCAGTTCTGTCAGTGGAGCCCCAGCGATACATTTTTAATGCACCTGCCTGAACTGAACCTCCTTCAGTTTTGCGCCGATAAATATAAGTTTCATCATCAAACTCAGCGACGCTATGTGGAGCGAGTGCATGCCTCTAGGAACTTTGACACACTTGCTAGCTGGTACCTCTCTTCATTTTTGTCCCTAGCATTAAAAATTCTGATGGATCCTTTAATTATTTCTTGTAAGTAAGGAATAAAAACTTTTAATAATCAAAATGAATAAGAAACTTCATGGCACGTACTTGGTAATTTGTTGATATCCAAGCTAAGCTTTCTCTTTTCATCGTAAGTCATCGGCTTGGCATTATCTTCCTCATCTGAGTCATAGGCAGGGATTCCGCCAGCATTTTTCTTCCGTGCGTTGTTCACCTTTGCATTAGGTTTTTTCTTCGGAGCGTTTGCAGGAGCTTTAGCTGCAGCAGCCCCACGTCCTTTGCCGGTCTTATTTGTCATAGAGGGTGGCGATAGACCACTTTTTCCGTTTGCAACGGCGTTTATAACTGAGCTAACTGAGTTACTAACGTAACTGGCTTTGGTGCTATTAAGAGGACGTCCTTTCGGTCGTTTGACATCGGTACTACTGGCAAGTTCAACTTCTTTCTTTTCTTTCTTTTTTGCTTTTCTACTACATTCTTCCACTAACTTTTTCATTTGCTCTTGCATTGCTTTTAACTGAAAAATAAACATTCAACTTCAATTAAAAAAAAAGTAGAGAGATTGTTTTTAGACCAAGACATCTGATACAAATACTCCTTTATTACCCCTAATGTGAAAAACCGCTCTGATTAATCTTTTCCATCCTTTAACTACCAATTTTTGTGGCAAGAATTATAACTGTACGGTACATTGGAGTCCCTTCAGAGGGATAGTTAAGGCAAGTTGGTTCATGGATGTCCCAAACCAGAATATAGATGTTTGAACGTTTCTTCCAATTTTTGATCAATTCATTCCTGAATTCCTCTCATCTGTTCCTTCTCTCATTCTGTTTGTTCACTGATGTACCCCTAATTCCACAGTCCATTCCAGTGTTCCATTTGCAATGGGTGAAAATGTAATCTTAACTCCGGAGTAGGGATACAGAATCCATGAGGAGGCCTGAAACACGGGAACCAATCAGAAATGGATTCCTTATGCCTTAACTCTTAGAATAAAGAGACTATACTGTACAGTAAATCATATAAAAATATAAATGAAAAAAATCTAGCATCTGTTCCTTTCCTCGGCCAGTTACTACTGGTCTTGCTTTCATCCAACCCATTTTTAAGATTTTTCAAACTTGGTGGCAAAAATACTGTTTTTTCGATGTATTTCAAAATGAAAAGGGGAAAAGGTAGAAATCAAAATTACACCAAGGAACTTGGGATAGTTTTTTTAACTTTTTCAACTCATTATTACAGAAGATTTGAAGATGAAAATACCTGCTCCTGAAGAACAAGGAGTTGTTTGGCTCGTTTTGCTTCAGCTTCTGAGTCTGATTCGGAGGAGGAATCGCCATCATCATCATCATCATCAGTGTTATCATTATACCTCGGCCGATTCAGATGCGTAGCCCTTGTATGATTCATTGTAGGAACTTTTTCTACTACTGGAGATGCATCGTCAGGAACTTTGGCATACCTAAAACATGATTATGATGTGGTCAAAAGCACACATTAAGATTGAAATATGAGATGTCAGATTACTACATAAGTACCAAAGACCAGTATAAAATTATTTGCAGAAATAAAACCGTCATCAAGGTCATCAGAGAATGAATCTCTAAGATGCTATTGTGAGAGGTGCAACCGATTGAATGGACCATTCACAAGTGAAATCTCACAAAATAAAAAAAAAACTCTGCAAGTCTGCAAATCTCTGCAAGGTGCAAAAACACTTGGACAAAAACTCCAATCATGGAGTGTATGCAAATATAAGAATTAACAAATACATGCCTCTCTTCACGCTCGGACTCTAACTAAGAGTTTCTGAGGAAAGAATGATATTTTTAGAAAAGCATCTTTAAAGAATTTTTTCTGAGGCCAGATACATTTGAGAAATACAAGAGAAAATTAGAATTTTCTCGTAAAAACAAATAAGGAAGACTAGAGACTTCAAGAGCATGAATTTCCGAGTCAATCTTACCTCATTTCAAATACATCTTGAAGTTTCCGCGCCATCATTACAACATCATGCTCTGGGGGATTATATTTGTAACAGTTGGTGAAAATGAGTCGAACATCAGCAGCAAATTCTTGCGCTGTACGGTATTCACGATTGTCCATCTTGCTTTTCACTGTACCAAGATCCATTGGTTTCTTGATTATTTCATGGTAGTCGTACAAACCAAGCCATTCGGCATCAACCGGTTTATAGAAAGGCCATGCGTATTTCTAAAACAACAAAGAAGAATAAATTGAGACAGAAAGCTTTGAATTTTAACCCAGTTCATTGATTATAAAATCTTTACTTAATATGGTCAAATTTTGGTTCCTAAGAAAAAACAAGATAAACAAGTATGTAGAGCCTTGACAATAGAAACTACCAACATTTAAAACTGGAACAGCAGGACTTCAAATGAATGATGGCCATATTCATAGCCGTTCATTGAGCAGTTCCTTCCCTTAGAAAGCTGCGTACGGTTTTACATAGGGACTAAAGGAGATACATAATTAACATAGCATCATGAGAAGGATAATTTTGACGAATTGCCAGTGAAATTCAACACAGTGACTTTGAGAGCGTATCATTGTAAAGGATAACAATGATTTGCCACTGCAAAAAATAAGAAAACAGAGGAAGAAGTTCTATGATTTTGATAAACTTTGAGGTAGGTGCAAACCTACTAAAAGTTTCAAAACCACCAAAATATTTCCTTCAATATTCTTCATTTTTTACAGGGTAAAATCATTATAATTCCTTGCAAGCGTCTATTTCCAAAGTTTTACCAATGAATTCTACTCGAGAATCGTTAACATCGTCTTTTTTATGATGCTATATGTTAGAGATCTCCTTAAACCGCCGTAAATTCCAATGTAAATCATACGGGGCTTCATAAGGAACTGTTTAAGGAATGAGAGTGGCCCAGGGATCTAGCACCCAAGTCGCAGGCGATGACGAAAGTCCCATACGTCATGGGATTGGGCACCAGTGCCCAGTTTTGTGACGTAGGGGGTTTTCTTCATCGCCTACGACTTGGGTGCCAGGTACTTGGGCCTCTCTCTTAAAGGAATGACTGAATATGACCCAATTTGAGCTGTCTTAACTGATACACCAGCAGATTTTTATTTATTTAATAATGGAAAGTTGGTGTGACAAACCTTTGCAGGTTATGTGGGTCAAAACTGACTTCTGAAAGAGTGAAATTTGTATTTTCTGGATTTCTTGGACAAGTATGAGCAGCACCAGACATTTGAGTGACTTATTTTGCATGCATTCAAGTGGAAACTCATGACTGCTATACGTACTCAAAGGAGCAATGAAACGAAAAGTGTGAGGTAAAAGTACTTACAAGGTGTTTTTTGGAGAAGAGTTCCTTCAGTATTTCGTTGCAATGCTTCAGAGGCTCAGATAGAGGTTTATTCTTTTCACTCTGTCGGTAAAAAGGGAATAAATAAAAGTTATTAGATACATTCATAAAATAAACAAATAAAAAGGGTAAACATGAAAATTATACAGCTTGTGGAGTGCGACTCGTAGATGCTTTGCTGCGCAACATAATCGTGCTTCATTGCGCAGAAAGTTGGATGAACAAAACTGATAAAACATACATGTTCGTTGCTTTTGCTCCTTGGCTTTTTTGAACTCTCAGCTCCCATCTCATGACCCATTTATGTCTGTTTGGCATCCATGATCTCCTGTATCATCTCATTCCCGATGTTATCCTTTCTGGGAATGCCAGCCAATCCATGCAAGAAATTCATCTTTGTTGCCTCTACAACCTCCCAGGTTTATTGCTCCATCAGCCATACTTCACATCCATGGGTTACTATACTCATGGCAAGTGCCAAATTGAAAGACTCCCAAAAATTGCTTGGTAGGGCCAAAATAACTGATAGTCTACAGATGTTACCTTTTCAGTTGGTTCCTTGAGAAATTCGAAACATACTAGGGCAGTTGGAGCAATTTTTCCAGCAAAGTAATTTCTTAGATAATATAAATTTCAGCAGCTGTAGCATATTTATCATACTACTAAAGTGCTTGTTTCAAAAATGAATATGGAATCTAAGATTTGTCTGCCCATTACCGTTGACGATTAAAACACAATTTGGGACTTGATGGTCTTGAACATTCTGAACCTTTGGTATTAGTAACGAATAAAAAACTGATAGTATTTTTCTAAGAGAGAGAAATAAAAGGAAGACAATGAAAATTCATGTACCTGACTCTGAGATATTCCACTGGGCAATGCAGGCGACTGACTAAAGGATAGTTCATCTATTGATTGCTCCATTTCCTGAAATCAGTGGGTGCATTAGTATTAGTAAGATCTAAAGAAACTGTGGAAAATAAAATGTATAACTCCCTCAAGAGCTGCTACCTGGAGCTGTATTCTGAATTTTGATGCTAGGATGTTTTAAAAGATTTCATTTTCCATTCTTGGTTCTTATTTAGATGAAAAACAAAGAATGTGCATCCTGAACTGACAGACGGTCTTGACAGTTCAGTTTTGATGTTTTATTTTTTTCTCTCAATGAATGTGATCACCGTACAGAATTCATAACATACCTTAGTTAGATATAATCATAATTAGGAAAAATCCCCCATTAATTCGCAATCGTTGAATTATTGTAAAGAATTGAGGATATTGATGAAATCAAGGTTTCATCTGAAAGGAATGAATTCAGTTTGATGGAACAAGATATTTTCTTACCACTTTCTTTGTGGGTGAGGGTCGCCCAGTGTCTCGCCGGGTCGTAATTTTAGCCTGTTTGCCCGTTGAGGAGGACATAGACAGGGGATCAACAGGGGTATCACTTTTTCGTTTCACACCAGCATATTTGTTGCTGGGGGTAGGTGCTCCTTTCACTTGGACCGCTGTCATTGGTTCTAAATAGTCGCTGTCTCCCTAAAGAGTAAAGATTGAAAAGAGTTAGGTACATGCTCAAATTGTAATGAGAGTCTGGTAGAAGTTCTGGGAAATGCACGGTTAAATACTCATTAAAAGGATGAAGTGAGATTTATAGCCGATAGTTGGTAAATGGGTAGAGGTTCGGAGAGTAGGTTGACAGCAACATCAAGAAGTAAAAAAGTGAAAAAAAATAATATAAAAAAAAAATAAAATGGAAAATAGTGCACTTTGTTCGGAAAATACTCTTTGACTGTGAAGAATAAAATACAAAATGAAAGTTGGATTACTAATAATTCATTACCTGCGAACTTGACGGGGCCTGCGACTGAGATTTAGGCTTTGTACTGGCAGGAGGTTTTTTCACACCCTGTTTTGCAGCACCTTTAGATTTTGGAGTAGGGAGCTCCATTTCTACTTCTTCTTTTGGCATTGAAGAAACCTGAAATTAAGAAAAACTTAACATTCCTTTCCTTTAGGCAATCATCATAGATCAGATGTCTTCGTTTAAAGTTACAATTCATTCCGTAGATTTTTTTTTCTTGGAATTATTCACTGAGGGAAAGCAGTGCCTCTTTTAAAGGCGCAGCATCTTAAACGTGAATGAATGCTGACGATGAGTGCAAGTCAGATAGTGACACTTGGATAAAGTTTGTCTCAAGAGAGTCACTTCACATTCAAAATGCCACACCTTTAGAATCGTCACAGATTCTGGATTCAGAAAACGCAGAAACCTCCCAACTACACACCTATGCTCACATGAAAAAATTGGAAGGATGTAAAAAAAGTGAGGACTGAGAGGAAAATAGAAAAACCAGTTAGCAGTCACGTGAAATGCACAGCACATTGTT